TTAATTTGTTCTCAAAGGCATAAATTATAAATTAAACCCTATAAGTATGAGTAAATTACCGACTTGATCTCAATATCATCATCATGTTTTTTTTTTTTTTTAACAAAAGAGGTTCAAAGTTTAAAAATTTTGAAAAAGGAAAATTTTTAAGTACTAAAAATTGAACCTCAATCTTACAAAAATTCACCTTTTAAATGGATAAATTTAATAAAACCTCTATGTTCTCATCATGTGGCTTTGATATGTTTGTGTTTGTTTGCATTATGTACAGAGCTAATTAAGCACGAAGTTATGCACAATCCTCTTGAGGTTTATAATTTTTAATGGAAAAAAAAAAAAGCAAAATTAGTCTGTACGAAATATTATATCAATAAATTAAATAATGAAATTAATGATCACAAATTGATTGGAACCATCTTGGGTACACATATTATTCAAAGAAAAAGAATAAATAGAATTTTGAAATTCATTACAAAGGCAAATAACCAGGGCCGGCTAAAGACCTAAAATTTTTTCAAATTCTAGATTAAGAATATTGATTATTTGTTATTCTTTGCGGTAAGGTTTCCATGTGGTGATCTCATGTCACGAAGCCGCTTCTCCTTAGATAGCACTTCAGCAAATCTGCAGATTATTAGAAGCAAAAGTAAAATATAAGGTGCCAACAATTACATTACATATAATAAATTGTCGAAAACTCGAAATTAGAATAGTTAATTTCTATATATATACATACCTGATAAGAGCCTCTTCATTGGTACCCTGATTAACAAGCTCAAATTTTCCATTATCCAAATTCACCGTGGAAACTGGTTTTTTCAACAATTCTTCCCCAACTTTTACAAGATTCTCCAAGTTTTCTTTTGTAGCAATGTCCACAGATGCGACTGCGCCACATAGTGTATCATCCTGCATTTTTTTTTAATTTACTTTAGGTATAGATCAATTTTTATATATGAATATTTCGGAAGAAAAATAATGAATCTATATATACCTGAATACGGAGATAACTGTCTTCCGATTGAAGTGCTTTGAAAACAGTAGCAAGGTGAAAGTCGACCATGTCACTGCTTGCTTGCATGAAAACATCCATCAATGGAGTGGAATGTTCAGAGGTCAACCATCCCAAGAGACCCCATTCTGCTGCCATGTGAGCATGGTACTTCCCTTCACATTTTTGGGAACCAGTGCCCAAGGATAAAACCTGGAAGCGAGTATAGACGTTTGGATTTATAGCGAAGAAATCAGAACTTCCTCGACTGATTTCTTTTGTCACTTCATTGATGGCTACTAAAGTCTGTAAGAATCGATTAAAAATATATGATTAAGATTTTTGTGAAACTTGTAACACCAACCAATTCCATTACGTTAAAAACATCTAGAAACTTACCGGATTATTAGCAGCAACTCCACCATCAATAAGATGGAATTCTTTAACTTTGCCGGCCGAATCCTTGGTTGCAAACTGATGGGCAGGAAGATAAGTTGGGGCAGCAGAAGTTCCAATGCATATATCGGAGAGCAAAGCATTTTTGCTAGGATTGTACTTCACCTACACAATGATCATATATCAAATAAATGGCAAAGGAAATAAATTAAATTTGTAAGACGTATTGATGAGAAATGGACCTCATAGGAGGAGAAGATTTTTGGCTGGAGTTGTTTGATGTCGAATGTTGGGATGACAACATTTGTCAATGTTCGTTCAATCGGGTTTCTCCCAATTTTTCCCTCACAATATTGTGCAGATATTTACCCTCATATTTCGGGCCAGTTAAAGATTTGACCAAATTCGTAGCTGGGGCAAATGGTAAGCTGTTGTATAATTACAAACAAAATGATGTTAGCTGTAAATACATGATAAATAATATGCGCAAGACATTTATCTCTTTCACAACTACAAAATACAAGGTCGAGATTGGTTACCTATCTTGGGGAAAGATTTTTGGGCAGTGTTGAAGATAGAAATCATTGATATCTTTGGCAGCAAAAAGAGGACGATTGCCCTCATTCGGATTTGGGGTAGTTAGCATGGCAGTCACGAGGCCACCAGTACTAGTCCCAGTAATGACATCAAAATAATCTGCCAGTCTAGCCTCCTCTCCATCCAGCTTCTGTAAATTGCCATAGTGCCAAAAATGAAATTAATTAATATACCAAGGAATTATATCAAAATGTCAACAGCAGTATATTCATATGCACACACCAGGCAAAACTTAGCATTTTTTTTTTCTTCCTACTTAAAAATCCAAATATCAGTGAATATATTCAAAACAATTTTCTCGCTACCTGAAGCTGAGACTCTAAAAAGGCAAGAATAGTTCCGGGGATAAGCCCCCTAATTCCACCTCCATCGATACTCAGAACAGTAATTAAGTTCCCATAGGTGGGAGCTTGAAGGGGTGATTTTGGACTTGCCATAGCAAAATTTTCTTGTGGTATACTTCCCATTATGATGAGAGATCGAGAGTTTGTTGGGTTTGAGGATTTTAACTATGAGAAAATTCTATCGAGAACAAGAATAAGATGTCCAAGCTTTGTGTTGTTTGATGCTCTTGAGGAATGCATGTCATGGATATTTATAGACACTTCCAATTATCTCATCAACTTTGAAACTTTCAACAATGCTTTCAATAATCTTCATCCAAAACAAATCTAAGTACCTAACTCGAGGCTTGCAGTTTCTTGGATCGATCGGCGAAGCTTGGAATGAAATCTCAATATATGTTTTTAGCCACACTGAGCATAACTTGGCTGCAAACCGTTGACCAAATAAACAATTGAAAATTCGAACTTTTAAGGAGACTGGTTGGTTTGAATGGTTCGGATGAATTAGTTCTGAAAGAGTTAACCCAACCATATATTAGAGACCAGAAATTTACTTTTCAAAATCGTCTTTTTCCCTAAGTTCTATCACATTTCTATTTGAATCTTCAACACGTGAGACTCGACAAATTAATGCTCAATTGTGGTGTTTTTATTTCCAGATTCATGGAAAGCCTTCCATTCAAGCAACAGCTGTACGGTTATCGATCGCCATCTAAAACTCTGGACTTAAAGAATTAGTAAGCAATTCTTGAGGAATTATACATAGAGGAAACTTCCGAAAGGAAAAGAAAGTCAGAAAACTCGTCAATGTTGCCTGCACTTTCAAAGGCGACCCTACACGGGCCAATGATCACTGGTGTAGCAATCAGTTGCAATGTCAAACAGTCATGGAAATGAGAAATTTCAAAACAATTTCACTAAATTTAATTTGTGATATAGCTGAATCAAGGATTTGATGGATGCCAAAAATATAAATTGGTTCCAAATTACGAATTTTTCCATTAAATTTTGTAATTTAATACATGTGTGTATATATATACATATAATATATAATAAATGATTGATTTTATTAATAATACGATTACGTGATATAATTTAAATAAAAAAAAACATATTGACATGGAATAACTATTTTATATAATCATTTCTCTCATCTTCAAGAGTTTTATTTATTTAGTATATTAAGATCACCCTGTTTACAGGTATTTAATTTATTATTTATAGTCATATTCTTGCTTTAAATATGGTTCTATATTTTGAGCGAAGTTATTTCTCAATATAATAATTTTTAAAAAATCCTTTAAACACTTACTAGTAAAATGGGAAAGAATTAAACGAAAATTTTTAGGTAAAGTTCATAAAGTTCTCTATTATAAATAATTAAATAAAATTTAAGATCAAAAATTAAAATTAATAAATTGAAAAGTTTCATTACATAAATCAAATGTATAAAATATGAAAAAAATTTAATAAATTTTGATATATTTTTTCAGATAAATATTTTTTGTAAAAATATTAACAAAATTTTTATCGTTAAATAAATAGTAATCAAATTTAAATTATAAATAATTTTTTACATACTATTAATTTTTACATTAAATTCTATCAACAATTTATCACTTTTTTTATTAAAATTTTTATTAAACCATTTTATAAAAAAATTCATAAACTTCACTTTAAAATTTCATTTAAATTTTATACTTGTTAAAATTTCTAAAAGAAAAGCTACTAGTGAACTTTTTCACAATTTGATCATGATCATAATTATCGAAGCCTTTATGATATCTTCAATACTTTTATTTTATTCAATATATTTTTGGTATACTTATTTATTAATTAATTTTATTAAACACACAACTAAGTAAATATGGTCGTAAAATGATCTTTTGGCAAAAAAAAATTGATGTAAATGATCCTATCTTATCTTATTGGGTAGATGTTGGGCGAAGCGGACAACCAATCTATGTCCAATCAGCAAAGAGAAGGATGTGGCCTAGGCACATAATTTGAACATATTTTTAGCTACACCAAGCCCACTGGATCAAACTATTTATCTCAACCCAAATACATCAGCCCATTAATGTCTTCTTGTCTCTTTGGGTCGGCCACACCCACACCTGACGTGCATGGAGTCGGCCCTTGGCTCTTATTTTCAACACAAACCAAAGGATTATTACATGAGTGCTGCTAAATACACTTTCATTTTTTTTCCGTCACACCTCAATTTTTTTTTTAATTTTTTTAACTAAAATTATTTAATTACTCTACTCACAATTTTTTTAAATTTTATATCTTTTCAAAAATAAATTTCTAAAATTAGATTTTCAAAAAGCTATAAACCTTTCCAAAATTCATTTCCGACAAGTCATAAAACTTTATGAAAATTTAATTTTTTGACAATTTATTTCCAGGTTTATAATGTTTTGAAAATTATTTTCAAAAAGTTATATATGACATTTTAAAAATGAATTTTTGAAAAGTTAAATTCATTCCGAAAAGATTTATAACTTTCTGAAAATTCATTTCCAGAAATTTATGTGAAAGAAAAAAAATGATTAAGTGATTTCACTTAAAAAATTTATAAAAAAAGATTGAGATATGAAGAGAAGAAATTGAGATGCATTTAGCAGTATTTTTATTACAATAGACAGATCTCACATATGTATAATAATAAAGCAAATGTTAAAATTTTTATTCAAAGAAAATAACAATAATTTGAAAGAATCCAATACAAGGCAAAGAATCAAGACTCAAGGCTGGCTAGTCCACCTGAAATTTATTTGAAATTAACTAAAAAAGGTAAGTAAATAAATTGGTTAAAAATACTGCTAGTGGTATTATCAATTTAACAATTTGTTTCGTTTCTTAATTTCTGGCAGTGCTTCCACGCGGTGCTTTCATGTCACGAAGCCGCTTCTCCTCGGAAAGCAATTTAGCCATTCTGAAGATGAAGACAATGCAGAAACAGTTCAAATTTAGCGTCAAGAATCAGATAATGGGTACCATAATATAATGTAGAAAGCCGAAAATTATGGCCGTAAATACCTGATGAGAGCCTCCTCGTTTGTTCCCTGGTTACAAGGCTCAAGTTTACCAGTCTCCAAGTTCACCCTTAAAACTTGTTTTTTCAACAAATCTTCCCCAGTTTTTACAAGATTCTCCAAGTTTTCTTTCGTAGCAATATCCACAGATGCAATTGCACCCGTTAGTGTATCATCCTGCATTTTTTTTCAATCAGTTTATATAGTTAATCTCTCTGGTTAAAACATGTAAATTCTTGACAAAATCGTGACATGGACAACGAATTAAATATATATATATATATATATATATACCTGGACACGGAGATAACTGTTTTCAGATTGCAGGGCTTGGAAAACAGCAGCAAGGTGATATCCAGCCATGTCACTGCTTGCTTGGGTGAAAACATCAACCAACGGAGTAGAGTGTTCGCTAGTCAACCATCCCAAAACCCCCCATTTGGCTGCTTGTTCAGAATCATACTTCTCTTCGGATTTTCCTGAACCAGTACCCAAAGATATAACCAGAAACCGAGAATAGTCCGTCGGTTTTATTGGAAAGAAGCCAGGGGCGCCGCGTACGATTTCTTTGGTCATTTCGCTAACAGCAACTAAAGTCTGGAAGGGTTAATAAACATGTTAGATTTCATTTTGGGTTACTTGTGATTTTAATTACACTATGATGCATATAGTACCGGATCATTTGCAGCAACTCCACCATCAATAAGATTGAATTCTTCCACTACACCATTAGAATCTTGGGTTTTAAAATGGTGGGCAGGAAGGTAAGTTGGGGCTGCAGAGGTTCCAATGCATATATCCGAGAGCAAAGCATCTTTCCAAGGGTGAATCTTCACCTATACACAATTATACACGGCCAGAGAAAAACCAATCAAGAAATGATCATTTTCTTGCTCTCAATTAATTGCAGTAGGAAAGTTAGTTTTGTATATATATATATATAGCTATTAATAAACTAATTATACCTCATAGGTGGAGAAGATTTTTGGCTGGAGTAGCTTGATGTCAAAAGTTGGGATCACAACGTTGGCCAGTGCCTGGTTCAATCGTGTTTCTCCTAACTTTTCTCTGAGGAGCTCATGCAGATATTCACCGTCATATTTCGGTCCTGTTATAGTTTTGATCAAATTTGTAGCAGGTGCGAGTGGCGATCTTCCATTAGCAACAAAAAGAATCACGTTAACAGTTACATGAGAAAATTAATACTTTAAATTGCATTCATCAACAACTTATGTATTTTTTTTTTTCCTGTAATGATTATTACCTGTCTTGGGGAAATATTTTAGGACAGTGTTCAAGATAAAAATCCGTTATATCTTTGGCTGCATAAAGAGGACGATTCTTCTCGTTCGGGGCAGTAATCATGGCAGTCACGAGGCCACCGGTGCTAGTCCCAGCAATGACATCAAAATAGTCAGCAAGTCTCGCCTCCTCACCATCCAGTTTCTATGAACAGACAAGCATAAGATATACTACTATAAGAATTAAGAAGTCTTAATAAAAGGCTATGCATTGTCTACATAGCCAGATATCTTCTTACATATCTTTACTAAAAAAAAAGGCATCATGATCAGCTCCACATCATGAAATGCTTGCATATATGCAGTTAATATGTTTATATTTCCCACTTTAGAAGGTCCAATAAGATCGAAAAGCAAATTTGGAAGAATTAAAGCATATATATTTATATATATTCTACCTGAAGTTGAGCCTCTAGAAAGGCCAGTATGGTTCCTGGTATGATCCCTCGAATTCCACCTCCATCAATGCTAAGAATGGTGATTAGTTCGCCGTGGGTGGGAAGTCGAAGTTCCATGGGGGAGGGAGGGAGGGGAAGATGTGTTTGTATTTTGTTGTTTAATTTGAGGACCTTAACCAAGAGAGATAGAGAGAGCAAAAGAAATGTTCAGTGTTTAATATACACTTTGAGGATTGCATGAGCTGCAATTTATAGACCTAAGTTCGTATTGCCAATTTTGACATAATCTACAAGCATTGTCCAAAAAAAACAAACAGTGTCTGCGGCAGCCCTTGCCAAGTTGGATATGGTGGATACATATCATCAATGGCGATGCCAAACAATCGACCATTCCTGAGGAATAGAATAGACTTTAGAAAAAGAAGACAAACCAAAGTTAAAATATAAATCCCAATAACCGTAACTTATAAGGGAAAAAAATTTCATAACATCGTCAAAGTTGACTGTAATTTTGGATGTCGCGCTCTGCAAATTGCATAGGCCAAGCTAAACTGCAAATGCCTCCCGATCAGGTGATTGCTCAGGGGCGGCTCGCGCTACACGCCAGAGGGGGCCACGGCCCCCAAAAATTTTAAACCCTAAAATATATAAATATATTAAAAAAATTAAATTCACCTTTTAAGACACACATGTTATTATTTATTTTTACTTAGCCTTTAACTTACTTTTATGCATCGTAGTTTAAAAATGATTAAAATTACATTATTATTTTACCTATTTATTATACTAATTAATCATTATTTATAAATTAAATTTTTAAAAATCTAGAAATTTATTATAAGAATTAAATCAAAATTATGTCAATTTAATAAAATTTAAATTTTTTTTAGCTTTTCTTTATGATTTTTTTTTAAATGTTAGCTTCTTCATAAAATTTTAAGTCTACAATCAAGTACCAAATATTTTTTTTTATTTTTAATAAACTACAAGTTCTCTTCATACGATTTCCACTTTTAATTTTAGCTTTAATCTTTTTCTGTAATTAACATACAATTTTTTTCAATACAAGAATTAGATTAAAACCACTTTTTAAAAGTTTTAAAAACATTATAATTTCTAATTTCAAAGTTTTAACTTTATTCTTTTAATGGGTATATTTTACTTTTACTTATTTTGAAGAAAAAAAATTAACAATTGATTTATTCATACTTTTTAAATTATTTGATGTATTATGCTTCTTGGTATATTTGTTTATGAATTGATAAAATTTATAATTTTGTAATTTTTTTAGTACATTTCTTATATATATATTTATTTATTTAAATTAAGAATATAATGGGATAAATTAATAAAAAAATTAAATTTTAGTATAATATTAATTAATCCCTTCAAAATTAAATGTCAATATGGCCACTGTGATTGCTTTGGTCTGAATATATATTTTGCAAATTAAGGATTCTGTGTGAATAGATAATATTTTCGATAAATTATGTTATATCACTTCAAATATGATAAAATGGATGAAACGGGCCGGAATTAATTAATGCAGCTTTATTACTACGTACCTATGTATATATGCAGTTTTTTAAGTAGAAAAAGTCATATCATTTTGGATTTAATGCCTTAAAAACTACAAAATATATGAAAAAAAAAATTTCCCTAATGGTAAATTTAGTCATAAACACAAAACTCCAACTACGAAAGGTTCATGCACTGTATAAATCACAATAATCCATTCTTTATATATGAACAAAAAAAAATTCCATATGAAAAGTTCCATTCTTAAAAAGAAACTATGAATTGGCTCTTGGCTGAAATATATATATATATATATATATGACTTGGCTTAATTATGAGAATAGGGATAAACATAAACATCTCAATCGAAAGGCAATGGAAAATGAAAGAATTAATCAAAATGGAATGTCTATAGATATATTCCATGATCAAAACAAAGGCAAGATAAAACAAAATCATGGTCAATTATGCTAGCTTGCTTAACAACAAAAGAGAATTGATGGATTTCTTGTGACTGAAAAAATCATTTAGCAAACCAAGTTTTACAGAATTAAATCTTCCTCGTGACATCTTCAAAGTTCAAATACGTCAGAAAATTTTGATCTCATGATTTGGTATGAAAGAAAAAAAAAAAAAAAAAGTAGAATGTCTTGTTGGGTAAGGGTGGCGTGATTCAAGTCAGGTCGAGCCAACCCAATTTAGGGCCGAACAAGTGGTAGAAAAACCAGCCCATCAGACCCAATTTATATATCTAGCTCAAGCCCATATATTGGATTTTGGGCCATTTAAATCCACCCACTATTTCTTAAAATTGGACCGGACCGGACCGACATAATGAGCGCTATATATTGTAAGCCTTTACAGCCCAGAGTAATCACGTGAAGTCTTTGTCATTCGTCTTGCTGCCGAGGGATAGTTGCCGAAAGAACGAACGATAATGTCAGGCATGGAGAGATTACAGAGGATGTTCGCCGGTGCAGGAGGCGCGTTGGGTCACCCTCCGCCGGATTCCCCTACTCTCGATTCGTCGGAGCAGGTCTACATCTCCTCTCTCGCCCTCCTCAAAATGCTCAAGCACGGTACGTTTCTATCTCCTGATTAGGGTTTCGCCGCCTTGTAGTTAAAATAACAAAAGCAATCGATGGGTTATTCTACTTTGCTTTTGCTGTTTAAGGTTTACTTCATTAAATCAAAAATTTTAATTTTCTTATCTGCTTTCCATGTATTTGCCTATTGGAAACATGAGCTGTTTCAATTTCAAATTTAGGGTTAAAGAGTTTAAACTTTATAAGGGGTGTTGTGATTATGTTTCTGTTTTTGGTGGATGTGAATATTTTATAGGAAGAGCTGGAGTTCCCATGGAAGTTATGGGTTTGATGTTGGGAGAGTTTGTTGATGAGTACACTGTCCGTGTCGTGGATGTTTTTGCAATGCCACAAAGTGGTACTGGTGTTAGTGTCGAAGCTGTGGATCATGTTTTTCAAACAAATATGCTTGATATGCTCAAACAAACAGGAAGGTAATAATTGTTCTTTAGTTTCATTCATATTAACTTATCATGGTTGTTGGGAATAACTCAAGAATTGAAGAGATAGTATTTTTATGACTTACGATTAGCTGGTTTTGTACTCCTTGATTATATATGTCTCTAGATTGCAAGCTGACCTTTTTGCTTGGTGTTGCAGGCCCGAGATGGTGGTGGGTTGGTACCATTCACATCCTGGATTCGGCTGTTGGCTTTCTGGTGTGGACATAAACACACAGCAGGTGGTGTTTAACCTTTTTGGATAGTGCTACATTATACACATGCTAGTCAACTTGCTATGTTACTATTGCTTAGAAGATATTCATATTCTTGTCAGTCATGAGCTTTAATGTCTTTGGTTGGTGTTATTATACAAGACAATGGTCACATCATTCTTTTCTTACAAAGAAATGGGAACATTCTACTTATCTATCTCTTAAATTTACTTTCATGATATCATTTGTTTTATAGGAGTCTTGTTCCTGTACTTTTCAATTCTTTCTTTTTCCTTCGTTTGAGTGGTGGGGGTTTGTTCATGGGTATGGGGTTTGTGTGACAATTCTGTCCTTAATTGATACAACTATTAGGGCACAATGGTTCCACTCATGTAATGGATAGGAGAGAACAGGTATTTGGACACTGCACTGTATTAATTCTGATTCGTGGTTTTTGGTGACCTCTCTCCCTCTCCCTCCCTCTCTCTCCCAAAGAATGTAGATCTGCCATTATTGTCAATGCTTATTAATAATCAGGTTTGATATAGATGTGGCTGTTGGAAACCATGCTTTATACAATGTGTCAAAGATATTTGAGTATGTCACAGTTGATAGATGACATAAAAGGCTGGAGACATAAATGTATTTTATTGAATATTCTAGTAGTACATATACAAGGTTGAAAAAGTTTCAACGCTTGCTTTTTCATCCATCCTTTGTCAATTAGTTTGTATTTTCCATTTTGATCTTTTTAAGGAAGTTCATTTCAATGTTTTATAAGGTTTTATTTTTCTTTAATTATCGTATTAATGAAAGCTGGTCTTTCTGTTGTTAACATCTGCCACTGCTTGCAGAGTTTTGAAGCTTTGAATCAAAGGGCTGTAGCTGTGGTGGTGGACCCAATTCAGAGTGTTAAAGGGAAGGTGGTGATTGATGCATTCCGTTTGATCAACCCACAAACCATGATGCTTGGCCAAGAACCACGTCAGACAACATCCAATGTTGGGCATCTTAATAAGCCATCTATACAAGTGCGTGCCAAAAGAGTACTGTCTGACGTTCTTTTACTTGGGGAATGATCTCATCTCATTATTTTCCATTGTCAGGCATTGATCCATGGGCTAAATAGACATTATTATTCTATAGCCATTAACTACAGGAAGAATGAACTTGAGGAAAAGATGCTGTTGAATCTCCATAAGAAGAAGTGGACAGATGGATTGACACTTAGGCGTTTTGATACCCATTCGAAAACCAATGAACAGACTGTTCAGGTGAGTGAAGGTTTTCTGCAGACTTTATCATCATAGTGTTGGTGTTGACCTGTTTATTGTGTGCTGGTAAGGTATGCATGATTTTATGTTGTCCCTCACTGATGTGAGGTGCTTGAAGACCTTTGGTTTGGAAGTGAAGAAAACCTTTAATAAGTGATAACTTCCCTTGCAATGAATCAATTGAGGAATGCCCAACAAAAAAGGGCTGGCTTTTCAAAATATGTGGGCAATGGTTCTAAATAGTCATAATACTTTTATTAATAACAGTTGCATTTGGTATGTTGCTCAAAGAGTTCAAATGTGAATGCCAAATAAATTTACTTCCTTATATAATGAAAATTATCTTCTATAAGGCAAAGTTATGACGTTGGTTTAATTTTTATACGTGCAGGAAATGCTAAATTTAGCTATAAAATACAATAAGGCTGTCCAGGAGGAAGATGAATTGCCTCCTGAGAAGTTGGCAATTGCAAATGTTGGGCGACAAGATGCCAAGAAGCACTTAGAGGAACATGTCTCAAACTTGATGTCCTCAAACATAGTTCAGACTTTAGGAACTATGCTCGACACAGTCGTGTTCTAGACTTTTAGCTCTATATACTCTTTTAAAGTTCACTAGTTGCATCTACATGGATACTATAGATTGTTGGTTAAGTGCACCGTCTTCATCTTTGCGAAAATTCAAAGTGACTATCAAGTTGCCTCAATAAAACTGTGATGATTGTTTCTCTCTCTCTCTCTCTCTCTCTCTGTGCATACGTGGGAGTGTGAGGATGTTGTTTTAGTTTGTTTAACTTGCTTTTCGGCAGGTTTTGAGATTCTTCATTTCGCAGTTTAGCTTGTTTAATGTGTCTATAATTATTTTCAGTGTTGTCAGATTCTTCATTTTGAAGGGCTAGATAAAATCTTTTAAAAAGGAAAGGCAAGCTTAACAAGTGCCGGTTGCCTGATTTGCATTCGAATTTCTTGCTCAAGAACTCACGTCATGATGGGTTGAGCAACAGGGGTACTATCTTTGAAAATGATTGATTATCCTTCATGCCAATTAAATCATTCTAGAGTGAGCATGATTGATTATCCTTCATGCCAATTAAATCATTCTAGAGTGAGCAAATCTTAGAAAAAGAAGAGAGAAAATGAAATCATGTCGCATGTAGGACACAGACCATTAAAAAAGTACTTTAATTTATCATGATTAATGGAAAACAAATCTTGGCAAACGGGTACTTGGGATGGGAATCTAGCTAGATATCAATCGCACTTGAACTTATTTTATTACAGGATAACCCCATATTTTTCACACTTTCACTCAACAGCTGCCTTCCCTTGGTTTAGGAAAGAAGCCAAGCGTTTGATCAAGCTCTTGGCCTTGTCGCAGTCAGGGTTAAAGATATGGAAAACATGATCCTCACCTTCTGTCTCCATAATCTCTGCCTTTCCCTTCCACCCAGATTTCACCAATTTATCATAATAAAACCTCCCTCTATCCTTGAGTATATCCTTCTCTGCAACAATAACAAGGATTCTATCACATGCCAAGCGTGAAAGATCAGGGGATCCATCCACAAACGGGTTGATTAGCGGATCATCACACCCTTTATCAGATGGACAAACGTATAGCCACCACTTATCGACTAATTCTTTCCTGAACCTATCAGTAACCTCTGATCCAATAGGGTTTGTTCCCCAAAAGTAGGGATGGATCATACCAATACCAAGAATCTTCAAGTTCTGACCCAGATCCGATTCCTTGATCCGCAAAGCCAAGTGGTGTCCAATATTTGCCCCAGCACTATCACCAACCAAAAGCACCTGATCAAGGTCAACATCATCCTTGATCCAAGCCTCATGGTTGCCATCTTCCTCCTTATGGGAAGCTATCCATTGAAGTGCAGCCCAAGAATCTTCATATGCAATAGGAAGAGGATGCTCCGGGACTAACCTGTAGTCGACTGAAAGAGCTATGACGTTAGCCTCAGCAACGAGCTTGTTGAGGCTGGTATGGTAATTTGGAAAGGCTGGCGATGCTACACAAAAGGCTCCACCATGAAAATAAACTACAAGAGGTAGCTTTTGATCTTTACTAGGCAAGTTGGGTCCGTAAATCCTGGCTGAGACGCCGGTTTCGGGTATGATCACGATATCTTTGGATAAAACGTTAGTTTCAGGATCAAGTCCAGGGGGAACTACTTCAACTCCGGCGATTCTCTCAAGGGTTCCGTCTTTGTATACTTTAAGGTAGGGAAACAAATCAAGAGCAACTTCTGAAGCGTTAGAACCCATGTCTTTGTGTAAGAGAGAGAGAGAGAGGAAACTGTAAAGAGAAAAACTGAAATACCGGGAGATCTATGTAAGGGAAAAAACAAAGAGGAAATGCTTAAACAAAAGACTGGGCGATTTAAAACAGCTAAAGTCAGCTATGGCTTTTTAACAAGACAAATATACTTTGCTTATTATATATTGTACATGGAGAGATTAGGCGCAACAAGCTCGATAAAAAAAACCCAACATCCTTTGTATCCTGTGGAAGTTCATCGTGGACCGCGATCACAATCACGTGATTTTATACGATTATTTTAATTCAACCAACCAGCAACATCAGGAGTTCATTGCCACTGACCTTAAGACCAAGTTAGAGTTTTATAATAATTTTTTTCAGTGTCCACTTTCAACCGTCCACTTCTCTGATCTATGGGGGATTTGATTACTTTTGACAAATGGATCATGTGCCATGAATGCACCCAACCTACACGCAAATATTCATTTTTCATGGCAAGCTGCTTTATTCAGCGTTAGTTTTAGCAATAATCAAAATAATCACCAACTTTAGGCTTCGTTTGTGGCAAGGGACTAATGCTGTTTTAAGAGATCCAATGTCATGAGAAGCGCAGTGACCCATCCAAATGCACTCCTAGTCATACCACATATTCCATTGTGATCATTACTAACTTTACTCTCAAAATAAGAATCATGAAATTTTGATGTAATTTGACTATAATCCGAAACTTTAGCTTAATGAAATGTTCTTACTACCGTTCAAACTCTACTTCTAGAAACTTTAAAGTAGCCTGAAATTAGGAGTCAACAAAAGCAGCTGTAGCGAGGAAATCTCAACAAAGTGCAAATATTTACAATTATCGAATTATGTGAATTTTACAAGGATAGGAAACCTTTTTTCCGTTCAATTTTCCTATAAATAGGACAAAAAATATGTATTTTAAGTTGAAACTTTCAAAGCATAGGGAACTTCACTTGAAAGGGATGCAAATTAAAGAAATTTATAAATGGAGCATAAAAAAACCAAGTGTGCTTATTTCTAATGGTTTTGTTTTTATTTATAAGAATAAGAAATGGCTTTATTTCGTTTTTTTTTTTTTTTGAAAAAAATAAAGCCGACCATGAGGAATTAAGTTGTTGAGAGCCTTTTGCTTATTTTTATGTTTAGAATAATATTTTTTCTCTCTCAAAATGTTTATCATATATTAATTTTTATAGAGTTTAAAAAATTTAATTTAAATATATTTAATATTAAAATTTAAAATTTTTTTATAAAATTAAAATTCTATGATTTTTTAATATCAAAAAGTAAAAAAAAAATTTAAAATTTTAAAAAAAAGTTTTAAATATTAAAAATATATATAATTTCAAAACCATTTCACAAAAAAAAAAGATAAATAAAAATAATGATATAGATGAAATAACAATAATGTAAAATTTTTGTGATGTATACACGCAATTGCCTGTATGCAAATTATTTAAACTGCATAATTAACCTAATTTCTAACCAATAACGTATTGTTTTAATTCTGATTTTAAATTTTAAAAAAAATATTTTTACGAGGTTCATTAATATTTTTTGTATAATTTTTCCTTTTTTTTTTTTTTTGGCCATTAATGACTTATTGTGATTTTGACTTGCCCGGGGTAATGAAAAGTCGTATAAATCTTGCCACCCCACCAGTGCAGAAAGTCACACTTCCCTGTTAATTAGCCCTTAACGATTGACTGCAATAAAGAATACAAATGTGCAGTTCGCTGACATGGTATCTGGTAAAGTTTATGTTATCTGAAACTTGATTTTTGTAAGAAAAAATTACAATTCGAGGATACAATAAAAAATTTTAAAATTATTAAAAATTATTTTTTAAAATAATTATATAAATTAATTAAAAATCATATATAATTAGAGTTGACAGTCTAATACGAAATCGATGAGTTTCGATTAGATTCGATTTTATAAGATCAACTTTTTTTTAAATCAAATTTTAAGTCGGATCAGATATTATTAAAGAAAAATCGAGATCGAGTCAAGTTTGGATTTTAAGTAAATTCGATCTGATCTGATATTATATAAAAAATTATTTTTAAATTTTTAATTTATATATTTATATTTAAAAATAATATTTTGATTAATTTCGAATCAGATATAATTTATATAATATCATGTTCGGATATAACAAAAATAAAAAAAAATTTTAATCGAATACGAATACAAATTTTATGATTATAAAATTAGATCAAATTCAAAACAAATAAAAATCACTCCAATCCAATCCTTTACCAATCCTATACATAATTAACCCTCATGCTACATTTAAGAAGAGATTAATGAGCTCACAAAATTAACCTAGTGAAAATATGTCTACAAATTAAAACTTGGGATATATAATTTGATTATTTTTACAAATATAATTTTATAGCCACGAGTTTCAATCTAATTACAAATATAATTTTGTTCTTAAAGAGATAATCTTCAAACATTTTTAACTTTTAAAAACTTTAAATTGATCACAACCATTCAACAATTGGAGTACACTTTATGATCTTATTAAAAAAAAATGTTGTTGCCTTTGACTAATCAAATTTTGTAATCTTTTACTATACTGATTATTTACCTGAAAAAATCTAGGAATCAATTTTTCTCTTTGAACTTTGTTTTTTTATATAAAATATATTATAATTTAATATTTAAATATTATAATTTAAATCTAAACATCGAAAATTTCGTTCAATTCAATTGTTTCTTCATTTAAAGTCTTGAAAGTTGAAATAACTTGTCCTGGATTGAGAAAATTTGAAGCTGGCTCATCATGTGCTGCTGGCCAATTTGAATAACGTGAATCTGACTTTCATGCTCACTTACTATCAGGGTCTTGTCTTTTCTTTTAATTCAAGTATCAGTCGTGTCGGCGATGAGGGGATGCTTTAGTTTGCTATCTATGTCCAACTTTGTCCACGTTTCAAAAAATGAACCTAAATTTTTGGGGTTTTTTTTTTTAAACAAAAAATAATATCACATTCTAATTACTATATAATTGTCACTAAATTTGATGTCTTAACTCTTAACTTATAAAACTACAGGCAAGTTGAGTTTAATTTAACCTTAATTTATTTTCATTTTTAGACAATTGGATTAAAAATATTTTAAAATCACTGTTCAAAATGCAAAATGTGTATATGACAATGGAATTTATTATCTATGAACAGTTTATTCAATAGTACTGGAGTCGATTCTAAAATTCTATATATCAAATTCGAACTTTAATTGTAATTTAAAAAATAAAATTTATTAATTCTACAAATGGAATTAAAAATCAATCTACATGTATCAACTTTTTTTAATTTATTTTTTTATTTTTTAATATATTCAAGGGTATGTGTATATCATCTTATTAACTTTATTTATAGAGTTTAAAATATTTGTTAATAATGAACGAAATAATTGATTATATATAATTTTAATTTAATATAATGTTGAATAGTAATGTAAATAACTAATCTTAATACATTGAGCTAAAATATTTTTAAATATCACAAAAAGCCAAACCTTTTTAGCAAATAAACTCAATTTATAATAAAAGTAAATTAATAATATCATTAAAATGGGAATTAAAACAAATCATGACTTTAGCGAAGAATCCAATAATAATGATCAGAAGAAAGGAGGCATATCCATATTGTAAAAAGCAGCTAACCTAGTGATGAAATCCTAGGCTTTATCACACTCCAAATCATACAAGTGAAACCCATGATCCTTCCATTCTGTCTCCATAACATCAACTACGCCCATCCACCTGCACCGGCCCAAAGCCTCATAACAAAGCCTCTCTCTATCTCTTAGCAAATCCTTCTCAGCCACACACACCGAAACCCTCTTGCACCCATGCCCCACCAAGCTTGGACCATCACTGTTGACTAGGTAAACCATTGGGTCATTGTTGATGGGCCGAGAAATGGCAATTACCCATCCAAAACTGGCTTTCTACCCGGTTCCAATGCCTCTGAACCAATTGGATACCATCCCCAGAAATATGGGTGCACCAATGCGATCCCAAGAAGCTGCACGTTTAGCCCAAACTCGGGGTCTCCAGCAACAGTAGCCAAGTTGTGAGCAATGTTGGCATCAGCAAACCTCAGGCCCTTCGCTGTTACAATATGAAATTATTGAAGAGCAGCCGAAGAATCTGGTTATAGCTGCGTAGACATATAAAGTTTTCGATGAATCGTTCGTAACTTTATTTCATTTTTGTTTATTTATATTTATTTATTAAGTTTAATAAATAATTTTAAGTAATATTTTTATATTTATTTATTAAATAAATTAAATATGAAAAAAAATTTATTTGATTTATTTATATTTATGAATAAATTTATTTAAAGTTTATTTAAAATTCATTTATTTATTATTTTTTGCTATTTGTTTATAATAATAATAAAAAAATTATATTTTTATCTTTTACTTTGTCATATTTTAATATTTATTTATATTCATTTAAGATTTATTTATTTAAATTTATTTGATAAGCTATTCTTGAACAAATTCATTAAAAATTTCAAAAAAAGCTCATTTAATCCTTTTCAAGTTAATATTTTTAAGTTTTAATATCTTTTAACTAATTTTAACTAAGTTCAAAACTCAACTTAATGTTGCATCATTAATAAGTATATATTACATATTTTAAAATCAATAATAATTTTTATAAAAATTATTATTGTAGATTAAATTTTGATAGACAAAAAAAATGATCATTAGTGATAAAAATGAGATTTAGCTATTCAACATCCCACGTTAAAGAACAAAAGTCATGATTTCTATAGAAAGAAGTGCTCCCCAACATCCCACATCACAAGAACAAGTGAAAGCGAAGAGCCATGCCCTTGGTCTCTATAAAAGGAAGTCCTCCCATGCATCTTTTATGTATAAGTCAATAGTCATGATATTCTAGACATTGGCATTTTGTTGGCTTTAAGATCAATTAAATTTTTTGAGCTTACGCTGCATTCTCTCAGCTGAGCTCGGACAAAGACTTTTAGTTCATTTAAAATTTGGCTTCTTGTTTTAGGGATTTATTTAGCTTAGCTTATCCGAATTTGATTTGTATATTTGTTTGTTTGGGTTATTGTACATGAATTTAATTGGTTTATTGTATATAAATATATTTATATATATGTTTATAAATACATATATTTATATATATTCGTGAATATGTTTATTTAATGTTTATGAATGAATTTGTTTAATCTAATTAAACTGAATACGAATCGAATAAAAATATTTTTTATCGAACGTAAATTAAATCTGAACATCTTTAAAAATAAATGAACAATTTAAAGATATATCTTTATTTATTCATATTCGATTCATTTACGACCTTACTCATAAGCTATAGGGATAGATTAAAGTGTTCAGTAGCTTTTCTATAGTTCACAGAATCTGCAATCACATTAGCTTCAGCTACGAAAGCGTTAAGGTAGCTATTATACTTTGGAGTAAATGGGGATGAGACACAAAACGCTCCACCATGGAAATAGACAAGGATAGGTAAATTTTGGTTAAGGTTGGTCAGTTTTAGAAGGAAGAGACGAGCAGAAACGTTGGATTCAGGGATTATCATTATGTCTTTGGATGAAACACCGGTTTGCGGATCAGTTGGTGGCAGGACAAAGTCAGTTTCAATGAGTCTTTCAACACGGCCATCTTTGTTCACTCTAATAATACCTGGGAACTCAGTAACCAGTTCCGGTTTGCTAGAATCCACAGGAAGAAAGACGAATGAGGGATGAAGTTGGGCTTTCATATTTTAATTGGAGTTAACGTTTGTATTTATAGAGAGATGTCATGTCAGACACGCAATTGGTTGCATTGGCAATGCTTTTAGCTTAATTGAGATGAGGTGGCACAAATCCATCGAGCTTCTTATAAAATTTACTTCTTGATTGCCGGTCTTGAATATGATTAGATTATATATTCATAAAATTTAAATTTAATTCGATTCAAAGATTTTTTTTTAATTTTTTATATTTAAATTTGATTTGATATTATATAAATTATATTTGATTTAATTCGAAATTAATAAAATATTATTTTTTTAATATAAATATAAATTTATATAAATATATATAAATAAAAATTTAAATAATTAATTAAAAATAAAATTTTTAATATATATCAAGTCAGATTAGGTTAAGTTTATCTAAAACTCCACCTCGATTTTTTCTTATTATTACGTAATCTGATCTAAAACTCGATTAAAAAAAAATCAACTCTATAAGATCAGATAAGATTGAAACCCATCAGGAGCAAGATTGCCAACCCTAGTTGTATTTGATTTGATTTTTGAAAATAATATATAATATTACGAATTTTTTTAATTTGATTTAAATTTGAATTGACTTTTTTTTTTAAATCAATATGTTTTCTATTTGTTTGGTTTTGTTTATTAGTTTTTAAATTTTAAATTTTTTATATATTATTTTAATAAAAATTTCAATATAATTAAATAAATTTATATTAAATAATTATTTTATTTTATAAAAATTTAATATATATGTATAAATCAGTAAAAATATATAATTTAGTTCAATTCGATTTTTTTTAATTTTTTATATCTCAATATGAAATTCAATTTAAACTTAATATATATATATATATTTAATATCTAAATTTAATTCAAACTAAATAAAAAAATTAATTTAAATCGAATCAAACACTATAATTTCAAACTATTTTTCAAATTTTCTTTTTTTTCCTTCACCTAGCATCAACAGTCATACGGTCAGTTTTCATTAAGCCCACCAGAGTTTAAAAGGAAAAAGAAAACAATAGCCCATTTGGGTCTACAGATATCCTGTTTATAGTAATTGAGGGACCAATTAGTAGCCCAAAGCACAGCCCAAATTTGTGAAAGAGAATGATCTATTAAGAACGCTTTGTCGTGTCCAAGTTTGGTTATGATTTGCTAAAGCCTCCCAGTGGCTGGTTTTCTTTACAGTTTTTTCTTTCTGCCAATCTGGTTAAGCCAAAAGCCTCGAGAGAAATGGAGAAGATGGTGGTGTTGAGATCCATTTATAGAGCAGCATGTTTGAGATCTTCCCTTTTTGCAACCGCCACCGCCGCCGCCAATCAAAACCGCCACTTTGGTTCCCGGAGTTTCTTCTCTGTCTCATCACCTTCCGCCTCTAATCCACCCAGAAACCTCCTTTCTGGTACTTTTCTATTCTTTTGGATCCTTATTTTATTGCCCATTTCTCGTTTTCAATTATCTTTGGAATCGCCTGAGTTAATTGAAGTAGATTTAGTAACAATAAATGTTAGCTGAGGCTTATAATGATTACTTTATTATTTGGCAAAAAAAAAAAAATGAATGATTACTTTATTATTGTATTTCGGGGTTTCAAAATTGTAGCTTTTTTGTTGTTACCTGTCCAAGATTTGAACTTTACTCCTTAAAGGTTGAAATTAAATTCTTTACGACTTCCTTAGGGTTGTGATGGTGTGTTTTATTGTGTTCTTATGTTGGAATTCTTGTCTGTTGTTTTTTTATTTTAATTATTGTTTTCATCATGAAATATATTCATATCTCACAGATATTATATGTGTTTCTCCTGTATTTTTCAAATCAAGAATCTGATAGCAATTGAAATCATTTTTAACTGCATAGAAAGGGACTAAGAGAGGAAGTTAACTTTTTTGCTTCTAGCATTCAGTGAAACTTGTCAAAATTTTCACAATCATATTGTATTTGTGACACTGCATGTTATATCTCCAACTGAGTATGTAAATTAATGTGTGAAAATTTTTGCGTAAGAGCAATAACACTTGTTACATAAGTAATTCATTTTACCTAAGAGTATGGGTGTATAAAATTGCACGGTGCTACTGTAGCAAAATGTTAGACTAATATTTTCCAGTTGCTTCATCTCCTTATTATTACTATTACTTTTAGAACAACTACTAACAACTGCTAGTGAATTGTGTAGCGTGTTGTAACTTTTCATGTTACCAACTTGTATCAAGTTCATCATATTTTATTCATGATTGAAAATACACAGGTGGCAGGTCTTCCTTTGCATTGAGATTATGTAGCATGCGCTATATTAGTGAAGATGTAACTCATATGCCTGTCATAAAAGACCCTGAAGTTCAGAATGTTTTTAAGGACTTAATGGCTGGAAGTTGGGATGAGCTTCCCTATTCAGTTGTACAGGATACAAAGAAAGCTCTGTCCAAAGATACTGATGACAAAGCTGGCCAGGAAGCTTTGAAAAATGTTTTCCGCGCTGCTGCAGCAGTTGAAGAGTTTGGTGGTGTTCTAATGAGCATGAAAATGGAACTTGATGACAGCATTGGACTGAGTGGAGAGGTATTTCTATAAGGCCCTGATGATTCTTTTATTTTTTTTGTCTCATTATCTTGGTGTTTGATGAATTGAATCTTTTTTGTAGAATGTAAAGCCTTTATCAAGTGAGTTTGTGGATGCACTTAACACAGTTTATCAACGATATACAACTTACTTGGAGGCATTTGGTCCTGATGAAACCTATTTGCGAAAGAAGGTAGAGACAGAGTTGGGATCAAAGATGATCTACCTAAAGATGAGATGTAGTGGTCTTGGTTCTGAGTGGGGAAAGGTACTAGAACAATTTGCACCATATTTATAGATTCAGTTATGACTGCATGATCCTCCTTGAGGATGTATAACATGGTTTATAGTAATTCATTTACTTCGTTTCATTTTCATGTGATTCATGGTTCAGTGTGACAGAAGAGAATGAGGATTGGGGTTAACTTGCCACAATGGTGAATAAGATGTGAAAAAAACTAAAGTTATCTGAGGTTATATGTACGAATTGCCATTTGTTCTTGCCTGATATGTGCTTAAAATCCTAACCGTCTGGTGTTCTAGAACACCAAGCAGAACCCTGGGCCAAGATTAAACTGTTTAGATCATACAGTCTATAGTAGCCGTTTTCAATCCATCCTCATCCACCAAGATTTATAAGGGAAGCAAGGAAGTAAACAGATTTATTGGCCTATAGTTTTTCATTGCTGCATTTATAATATTTGACAGTGGCACTCATTGTTGCATAAACACTGGGTGTAAATTCTGATTCTTATTTGCTTTTGTATTCCTTTACAAGTATTTTGAGAACTATAAATAATGGCAATTTTGCTTTTGGTTGCTTTCATTGCAGATTACTGTTCTTGGAACCTCTGGACTTTCTGGATCTTATGTGGAGCAAAGAGCTTAACATTAAGTGTTGAGAGAGTCCAATATCACTGTGAACTTCATTCTGTTTTAGATCATGTTTCTGAATAGTTGGAGACAGCTTGGTGTCGTTCTCCTGCAAAAACCTTTCCGGTTGGAGTTGCTTGGCAGCTAAATAAAAGGATTATCTTTGTCAACAGTAAATCAAAGTGTAACATCATTTTTCTTATGCTTTTTTTATGGAAAAATTTTCTCAACCATAATTCTTTCCTGAGATAATTACAAGTTAAAAAGAAAGGTTTTTGCTTCTCCAAATGGTCCAAAATAAAATGATGTTCTTCTTGTTTGGAAGAGTTGCCAACCAGTCCTTTTCAAAACCTGCGTGTATTTGCTACTTTCATTAGATTCTACACTGCTTCGATCATCTATATTAAATAAAACGGAGTTTCACAATGGTAAGGCCTCGAAACTCATTCTTTTAGCAGGATTGTAAATGTAAATACTTCCCTGAAGAAAAAACATAAACAATGGAGTGGGGAGAGAGAGAAAGCCATGGTCCCTGACCCTGTCCGAGGTTGCTAATTGTAATCACCGGAGAGAGATGGTGAGACAACTTATCTCCATAATTAACCTTTTTATTCTTTGACTGGTTACCATTTTGTATGCTTCCAGTATTTAGAAGAGGAAGGAATTTGCTTCCATTGCCAGGACTAAAACAGAAAAAAGGAGACACAAAAAGAAACTCTAAAACATAAGTGAGTTGGGGCGAGGGTGGGGGGGGGTTTCATAGATTGGGAGATTAGGCTATGTTTAAACATACGGAGTCTTGGCTAATCTCTTGCCTTTACGCCAAGACCAAGACTCAGAAGGGGATTTGGGCAGAGGTGGGAGTAACACAGCCTTCCTGCACAGCCCAAATGGCCACCCCTCACAATGACAGAATTCCTGAATGATTGATCGCCTTCGAAAATCCTGGAAATCAAACTTCCAAATGTCTGGTAAATCAATCTTGTTTAAGCTTGAACAACGGGAAAAGTTTGTCTTAGCCGATAGAAAGGCTTCCCTGCTCACAGCACTCGAAGAGAAGGAGAAACAACTCCCAACAGAAAAGAATTCCTCTCTTTCATCTGCTTCATTATCCTTGTCTCGTCGTTTGGCGTACTTTGAGGTTATAAACAGCTCCCCTGTTGATGGAGATAATACCCAGGAAAAGCTTTCTGATATTAGACTAGGCCTGCGCTTCATCTTTTCCATTGCTCGATTTCGAATTTCAGAAACAACAACCTGTAAAGAACATCTCAAACAATATCAGCAACTGGAAAAAAAAGCTCAGATATTGGCAGTGAAATGAAGATAAAAGACTAGAAAAATCATCTTTGCTGCTAGTTGCTAGTTAGTACTTCCGATTCATCTTCGATGTCACTTGAATAATCTTCCTCTGGACATGAATTCGACAGCCGTCCATCGCTTATATGGCAATTGGAAAATGCTTCCTTCAGAACTGTAGCTAGGAACTTGCATCTCTTAGATTTACGGGGCTGCTCCTCCTGATAAAAGACGCTCATGTTGGAGAAAGCAGCTGTTTGGAAGTGGCAAATTGATCTATAAGATACTGACTTCATATTATACATGTATTTATAGAACATTGATTGTTATAGTTCATTCTTTGTTTTGATGTTGAAATTGACCTGTTCGTGTTGATAGTGCCCTCCCAGCTTACTGAAAATACATGGATTCTTATTCTTTGGGGTAAAGACTAAGTTAAAAAAAAAAAAAAGGGCTAGACAGATTAACAAATGTCACTCAAAATCTCACTTGTCATCTGATGGTCATCAACTGGGCTAAAAAATTCCCTATGGAGACCCTCAAAACTGAATTGTATTTCTTTTGGTTTTTCCATAGATAGTTCCTTTAGAGTAATTTACAAGTTTAAGTTATAGCAGAAGTCCTGGTGAAAACTGAGACATGGTACCTAACAATGACGCCCAGTATCGGACAAATTCTTGATTCTGAATCTAAATGTAGTCAAATCATGAAATAAAAAAAACGAACGTACCTAAATAAAACTTGTAAAGAATTTGGTTGAGAGTGCAGCAGTGTTTTCATGAACAAACAGATCTGACAACAGTATTACATGTGGAAAACTTGATCAAGATCTAGCAGTAACCGAGTTTTATATCCTTCCTGTGATCAACTTAACTTTCTAGTTCCTTCTCTTCCTTTTTTTTTTTTTAAATCTCTGACAGCAAATGGCAATCTAAGCAGGTGAGGTTGGCATGATGCTCGTGATAATGGTCAACCGGCATTAACTCTACTAGGAAAAGAACTCATCTCAAGGGGTTAGTTTTCGGCCATTTTAATGGAATCTTGGTGGTGATGTCACGAGACAGAACCAAAATTACAGGACGAGTGTGTTTTAAAGCAACTTCATGAATTTGTTAATGGCACCTCCTCGAAAGAACAAGTCTCCATACCATACGTGCAGTGGTAAAGGTAACAGAGAGACAAAAAGCTTGACAGAACCAAATGATGTATTTGCACCATGAGTGGGGTATTATAGCCAATTATGATGATAGTGTCAATAGTGAAACAGCTGTTATCAGCGGCCATTGTCCCATCAATGCTTGAGACTATATTAAAATCTAAAGTTATTAATCCGATTAGGCTAAACCAATCCTCCTCTCAGCTTCTTGTTTGACTTGGAAGTGGGGGGATGGGGGGTTGAAACTGGTAATTACTTAATATATGAACTCTATCTTTCAAGCAAAAAAAATGGGTACACAGAGCCAGCAGGTAGGCAATGTCCAATGATCCTCTTTCAAGTTTCAACCTCGCCATACACGCACCCACACCCTAAAAACCTAATTTTCTTGCTCAGCAATGCCATTGGTTAAATATTTTATGTAAAAACAGAAGAATAAACAATTATCTCTTTTACAATGTAAAAGTTAACAGAAAGTAATCTGGTATGATAAACATCGTGATCACATTCCTAAATACTGCATCTACGCCCAACAAAACTAAACCAGCTTAAATTCCACTTCCAGGCTCCAGCAGGTTCTGATACCGAGGAAGGAGCAACGGCAGTGAGAAGGTTGCTGCATCTCTACCCTCTTTGCCCTGAGATGTGAATCACCAAGAAGATGCCCCACCCAACTGCACAGGATGCCAAGATATGATTGGACAGCCCAACTATTGCACTTGTCAAGCCAAAAGAACGAGAGAAAATCATTTCCAACCTCAGACAAACTTTAATGAATGGAAAAGGCAACATGATAGAGACGAAAGCAACCAATAATGACTAGCTTTGTCCAGTGCCACCTAATTTAGAAGGAAACAGCAAATTAGAACATATAAATAATTATATAAAAAAGCTAACAAGAGAAAATCATTTCCATAACCTTTGAATGTTAGAATCCATTGTTTAATGTTTGTTTCATCTTTCCAAAAATAATTCCCCTAAGATTATGCAATAAAATTAAGCTTAGTGATTGAGTTGTGTGCATATGAGGCTTTTTGATAGTTTTTACGAAGTTATAGCAAGTGATTATAGTTTATGTATTACTCCACCTTGAACAACAGAAAATAAGAATTTCGCCTTAAACAGGACAGTTGTATCAAAACAGTTTAACTCAACTGCAAGTCTGCAACTCCTAGGAAACCTCATAACAGTCTTTTGAATTGTCTTGGCACAATAAATAGTTTACAATTCTTTGACTCAGCATCACTTGATGCCATCTAACTTTCTCGAGAAATTTTGCAAAAGTAACCCAGTCAAGGGGAAAACAGCAGCACAAGCACACCTAGAAGAAACTTTGCCAGAATTAACTTAGCAGCCCAAAATTGAATGGATATGAAAGTTTAGTACCACCTATTCAGCTATAGCATCTCTATTGATATACATCTTTCTTTTTTTCCTGTCCACTCATCAGAAGATAGTTTAAATAGTCAACTATATTATCTAGTTTTTCACATATAAACTTAATTATGTTATCTTGATGAATTAATTGATCTAAATTCAACTATAGATAATCATTCATATTCTTTTTACTTAATGAGAAAGAACCTCATAATTGGTTACAGAGATGCAAAAGCATCTAAAAAATGGCAACATGATGAATTAGTACTAAAGCAATCTTTTAACTGAAATTTGATTGAAACATTGAAAATTAAGTTAAAAAACTCCTTAGTCCTTACCAATATTGGTCAGTTTGAAACAGAAGATTTTTGGAGTTGCTGAGAAGTGAGAGATATAAGAGACTGAAGCTTGACAACAGCAGAGGCTTTCTCAGGTGGGCATTTGGAGAGAGAAACATTCAAAGAATGAAAAGCTTCATCAAGCTTGCCAGCAGCCAATGCGGCACATCCAGCTTTATAAGACTCATCAGCCGTCCGGGCATCATACTTGGGCGAATCATGACCATTTTTTCTCAACAAAGATGAAGATGGGGAGGTCAAGGAGAGCTGTAGCACGTGCATATTCAAGACTAGTAATAGCTGTGTGGATCTCAGCCATGAGACACTCAGGTGTCAATGGGAAAGTCTTCACTCCATCAAAGACACTGAAATGAGAATTTCCTTCCCCAGAACCCATCTGCTTTTTCCAAGAGCCTTTTCGTCAATGACCCGGGCTTAACTTTCCATTTTGATCGAGTCTTAGTAAATTTCAATCCTTCAAAAACCCAACATTCAATGAATTAATCAAGTCCAAATTACAGAATTAACTATCTTTAACGTTTATGCAAAAACGAGATAAGTTCTGGAACCTGTTAATATTTTTAGGAAGAAAATACCAAGCTCGAACTGGAATCTAATCATGTTCGAAGAGGAAGAAGAAGAAACAGAAACACTAACCTTAAAGATGAAATCTGGCTTTCGGATTTGGGTCAATTAGTTTGAGAAAGAAAGAAAGCTTGTTCACTCCGACAGCTAAAAAGGTTAAAGCATTTATCGACGTCTCGTGGTGCAGATTTTTTACTTTCCTTTTATGTAATTTTCACTTCCCTTCTTTTCCAACAATTCTTCATCACCCGTTAAATCCCTTTTAATTATCCATTAAAAAACAAGGTTTAAGTGATTTTAGAATGCAGAAATCGTCCCAAACAACCGGTTCGATTGTTTTGGCCTTTGGGATTGGCGGATCCTCTTTTGCTCTTTTTTTCTGGCTTCTTGGTTTGGTTGCTTACTACGCATTAGCTTTGGAAAGTTACTACATCCAGGGCAACCCTCAGGGCACAGAGGCATTTCATGGTGAGCCCCGGGTCACGGCCAACAGCCAAGCCCCTTAATTGGTGGGGAATGCGGTTAGCAAGGACTTAAATTCTCTGCTCAAAGTCAAAGAATTAAAATATCCATTTGTTACCGAGAGTCAGGACCAAATCCTATGTTGCAAGTTCCATCCTCCTTCGTCAGAGCGAGCATGCCTGATTTTCACATAAAACAGTACCAAACCTAATCAAATTCTGATAGACATATTCCCAAAATCAACAAAGAAACTTTCCTCAAGCTTGTTCACTTAGTATAATGTTTCACAACAAAGAATATCTTCAACTGCCTCCTATGGTTGTCATAGATGCAAACAGCTTCACTTCATATCTAAAGCTTTCCTATGACAATTAAAAGAAAAACTTAACATCAATCAGAAGTGAAAAATGGAAAACCAATCACAAACAATCATCACTTGGAACTTTAATATCTGGATTTATTATCAGCCGAACAAGCAATGAACAAGAACCACAAGGAAGAACAACTGATGCTGGTAAAGCATCAGGGGTCCTTAAAAATATCTCGGTCCCATCCCTCAACAAATTGTACCCCATTTTACCCAACTCCAAAGAATCGACTGAGAAGTGATCACCGCATCGGCACTGGTAAAAGAGCTCCATGACTTCTCCGGTATCTTCAATCATCATATCATCTAAGCCAATATCTTCTGAGGCCACTACATTCTGTCTTGAATCTCGCAGCTCGCTATCATAGACCATGCGTGACTTGGGGTCACTAAGGATTTCCCAAGCCTTCTGTACTCTCAAAAATCTATCTCCTGATTCATGATCAGAATGTAATTTATCTGGATGAGAATTAAGGATAGCCATTCGATAACTTGTTCGAATTTCTTCATAGCTTGCATCTTCCTTCACAGACAGAACATCATAGTGAGTTTCTCGGATGGGGTTACTTCCAAGAATCATGATTCACCACCACTTGTTGCAATACAGATATCACTGCAAATACATAAAAACAGATTTCACACAAGGTTATTTACATTTATTGACAAGAAACCTATGAAGAAACTATAACTTCACAGTTCAAAAGTAGACTTCATGTTTTTCGATCTACTAAACACTGACAATGGATGACTTTTTAGCATCACGGAACCTCCCACATCCGCTTCAACTATGAAGGGCATTGAGGGCGGTATTCAAAGATTAAAGGGTTAGTTCATACTACTTCATAATTACTTCCCCAAATTCAGACCTTCACAATCAAATAACAGATACAGGAAAGACAAAAATTTCACCAACACGAATTGTTCCTATTATTAGAACCACTGTCTAAGATTCTTTTAACTGAAACTTATGTCTGATTTTCAAGAGTACTCTTAAACATAACATGACTATAATTATGACTGAAATAATCCTCCAAGGAAAAGAAACCCTAAAAAGCAGAAATTTTTGCATCAAATTGAGCATGATAGATGAAACAACAACCAGCAATTAAGAGATTGAGAAAAAAAACATAATTATCAATATGAGATACATTAGACAATTAACAGTGAATTAAGAAGTTAACACTATCAAATACTCAATTAACCAATTAAAATAGCGTTGGAAAGCTTAAAAAAATGAAAAGGAATTGGCCCCAAAAGAAGAAGAAATCAAACCAAAATCAGTTAATCTTAACGATTTGATAAACCCCAGACGCACATAAAGAGTCGTTGATGCGAACTATTCCTCTCCTTCTCTCTACCGTACTTGGCTGCGGCGCGCAGGGCTGAGGACAAGGAGATACGATACACAGAGAACTGTGGGACGTTTGTCGTTTCGGTTTTATACTTTTGCTCTGGATGAGTTTGGGCTGGGGCCCATCCACCACCATTTGATTGGGAGGCTCATGAATGTTGAAATATCCATGTTCTTTTTAAAACCCCAAAGCCCGTAAAAAGCAAAAATTTTTTACATGATTTAAAAAAAAAATATCAATAGTAATTGGATTGTTTTAAAATTAAAAAAAATTACGCCATAATTTTTAATGAGTTCGTTCTTTTCTTAGCTGGTATAAGAATGTTATTAGCCATATCAATTCTGATTCAAACTTGAAAAATTCATCCAATTAAATTCACCTGAATTAAAATCCGATTTGATCATTAACAAAATTCTACCTATAATTAAAGGGATTGTAAAAAAATTTCACATCCCATTACAGCAAATCGTTTTGCTCATCATCCAATACAACTTTCCATGACAAGAGATCCATTTTTTCACATTGTAATTAATTAAATCCACAAGGAAAAGCTTCTTATGTCTTTTACTATAACCTCAACCTCAACAGCCAGCACTGGGACTTTCACATCTTAAAATCCATTAGTGCTGAGACCAACCAATGATACCTTTCTCGGTACAAAAAATTTTACTTGTCAAAAAGTAGGGTGGAACCACCGGCTGCCACCCTTTCCAGTTTCCCCTATGTTCCAAAAGCAAAGAGATTATAATGTTGTAATAAGCAAAGGCCTAATTTTTTTTGATCAGATGTAAATGGGGCATCATAAAAGATTTCAGTGGAAATTTAGTCAGCTAGATCTCGAATTGACTGCCCATCATCCTGTCTTGTTGATCAAAATTCAGTCATACACTAATAACACCAGATACCCAAGGAACAAAAACTGGCACTGTTGGGTGGCTGTTTCTATATGCTTCAGAATATCTGTCCTTAAAGTTCAGTCTCGGCTTCTCTGACTGCAATTTTTGTTTTTTAACAAGTTCTGTTAGATGCAAAAGTACAATGAAATGCTAACTTAATGGCAACAAAAGGACACTTACGGATTTCAGCCAGCATTCCATGTGTTTGTGTTCATATATATCCGGGGAATAGCAACCAGTCTCAGATGGACAATAAACCCATATGTTGCATTTCTTTTGACCTGGCTTTGCACGTTTAGCATGATCTAAGCAAGCCTGGCAGCAATCAGCTGCACTTTCTTTGTGGTGGGTAGGACCCCATCTTACAGCAGCACCATCATAATCTGTATGAAGTTCAGTGTGGCATTCTGGTGGAAGGGGCCTCCCAGCTAAAATTTGATCCTCATCTTCTGTATAAAAGAATTACGCCTTAGTGACAGACATTTCTCACCACAAATTTTCAAACCTCTCCTTTGAAGAAGAGGTTCCAAGTTCAAATCCCTATTCCCAAAACTATATAAAAATATCAACTGAAATCTGCTATGTTGTCTTAACGAGAGAGAGAGAGAGAGAGAGAGATCAACTGGAGAAATTGAACAATCACCTGTATCTTCCACACCTTCAGGCTTATCATCATGTTCTTGATTGTTGATTTCAGTGGGAATCCAAAGGCCAATGTCTTCTGACAGCACAGCCCAATTGGACTCTAAGACTTTTACTAACATCTCTAAAAAATAATAAGTCAGACTGGTAAGCTTAACATTCTGCAGCAAGTAAAAAATGCTTAAGCTTTTTATCTGAATGATGAACTGAAGTACCAAAATATACCAACTTTCAGATTATGAATTACCTGCTTCCTCTTGCAAAAGAGTTGAATTCAACCGCACTCCTCCAAGGGCCAAACTTCTGGCTTCTTTGAGTTTCTCCTTGTGCCAGGTTTCAATCACTTCTGTTAACCCGAGAAGAATATCAACAAAAAACTAGCAATTTATAATGAAATAACTACCAAGACAAAGCCACAGCTGATTAGTTGTCCTCAAACATGAGACTACATTTTTGCTGAATACTTTCAAAGAACTCTTCTGAGACATGGCAAATACTTGTACAATATCTCTTACCTAATTTTTTAAATGGTTTTGCTTGGAGAATTGGGAGGCTTGTTGAGGAATTCAAAACATATAGAGTCTATAAGAATCTATTAAATCCTGTGTCAGTTAAAAACAGCCTCCAGCTGATTTGAAAACTGCATCACTTAGAGCATATCAAATTTCCATTTCTATCAAATTGTAAAGATCTTTAGATTTAGAGCCGATCAGCAAGTAGCAGCAAAATAATCTCATTCCCTTTTCGGAAACTAATATTGCCTGTTAAAAATGAAAAATCAAAAAAGGTTCTGGCTCACAATAGTTTTAAAACTTGTCAATAACTATCAATTTTCAACTGACATACAAATTCAATTAGGGCAATGTCCAATTGATGAAACTCACACTTCCCAACATAATTTGTACTGTGGCCCCATTAAGACTATTTCTTGAGTTTTAAGCTATTTTCTACCTGTTTTACATTCCTAAATAGTCAGCAGGAGCCCATGTAATAAGGTACAAGTCAAAACCAAAACCAGAACATAAAAAACACAGTCCTTTCCGCATCAAAAGAAAAGGGAACAAAAAGACAAGTATAAGTGGCTCTCCAAAAATGCCAGAACTAACCATATAAAGACTCCTCCAAGTAATGATTAAATTTATTCTAAAAGTTGCATCAACTAAAAAAGTGCATGGTTTATTGCCATGACAAGAGATGAAAAGGTACTGCTGTTGTGTTCTTCAAAAGTAAGGAGAACAGGGGATACTTGGCTTCTAGGAAACTAGATGCATGGGACATGCATAGCAAACTCAGGCATCATGTAATCAAGTACTCGGGCCCAATATGTCATTAAGGAATATGATACCAGGAAAAAAAAAGTCACAGAAGTAAAAGCAAAATGTGATAAAAATAACCATTACACACTAAAATCTTGCAAGTACTACACAAAATTTGGAAGGAGAATTTAAGATAAGAATCAAATGAGGGGACACCAACAAAAAACCTGATTGCTTTTCTTTAAATTTATTGTTAGAAATATATCCTAACCAATGAATTGAAATCTTTCTTCAATCAAGAATCATGATGTATAATATGTTGTTCATTGATAAAAAAATAAAAGAAAAGAATCTTGACGCATAATAACTCAGCACCACAGAATACAAATTTTGCATTTTGTCTTAATGCAATCAATCAATTAACCATGATTTTCCACAAATTACAATTCAGAGTTAGCCCTAAATTCAAGTAACTCAGAGAGACTAAAGAATTGATCTATCACATCAATTGCTATGTATTGCATTATAAAGCAGGTCTACCTTTGGAATATTGGATGATGTTGTATCAAAAAGATTACAGCCCTTGGCAAGATGTAAGAAAGGAAGTGAAAGCATATACCTAATGGAAATTAAGGATAAGAACCTAGAGGCTAAATGTACTTAACAATTGAACCTTCCTATTTTTATGAAACATTTTGATGTATTCTGCTTAGGAAAACATCACAAACACACATCATAGATGACGGGAACAAAGTTTCAAAATGGATTTCTTCAAGAATTAATGGAGATTTCCATTTGGCTTCTCAGAATATGATTCCTAAGATGCTTATGTTCCAGCAGCCATAATCTCTCTACCAAAAAATATGCACAATAATCAGATACTTTTTTGGGGTGAAAAACAGAATAATCAAACCTATATATCCAGACAATTAATTTTACATACAATAAAATTGCAATGTCATTATTGCATTTCTTATATCTCCTGCTTGTGCAAACTAAACCAGCTAATCACACAGCGGCAAGTTTCCATAATAAGAATGCAGTTAAGACTGCGATTTATTCACTAACAAATTATTTATTAACTCGTAATCTTTGTAGTTGCCAGCTTATACAAAGATTGTAATCTTTGAAATTACACCCAACAATCCTATTCTTATTCATCAGCCGACCCCAAAGTTATGGGATATAAGGCTTAGTTTGTTGTTGTAGTTCTATTCCTATTCACCATAAATGCACAATCTATATATAACTACATTACAATAAAACACTATTATTGAATAAGAATTAATAGAAATACAACATCAGGTTAACTATAAACTGTAAGATAACTGAGCAACACTGTCAAAAACTAAAAGGAAAAGTAAGGTAGAAGCTAACCTTGCTGCTCGCTGACATTGGCATTTGGTCTCAAACTTCTCAACCTCTGCAGGATCTCATCAGTTATCTTATGTTTAACTGTCAGTGGCAGTTCACCCACTGATTCTTCACTCCAAAGTTCATGCTTTAATCGCTTTACCTTTATTTACAAACATCAACATTATTCCCCAATTAAAAGCCTTATCAACAATAAAATGGAAGGTGTCAGAAAAAAAGGAAAGATGGGTTATTTGCATACCAATTTAATAAGCTCTAAAGGTTCACTGGCTCTTCGAATCTTAATTGATTCTTCCCTTTTCCTAATCTGATCTGGAGTATACATTACAACTACAAAAAAAAAAAAGAAAAAAAAAACCCAGAAAATTTAAACAATAATCAAGAGGAAATTTATTAAAAAAAGGGGTAAAGATGATCGAAACTTACCATTATCTGTATTGGAATAAATGTAGAGAGAAGAATAGAGACAACGTAGAACATAGAGAGCAATAACAATGTTAACGGAGCAAAAAATCAAAGTGATTCTTTTATACGAGCACTGACCCGAACTCAAGCCAGAACCGCCCCGTTTGGCTCTGCCTTCCCTAGCCATCGCCCACTACGTTGTCCCTCCTCATCCCACCATACCCCTTCTCCTTTCTTTTTTGCCTTCCCTCCCCTAACAGATCGATCAAATGGGATTTGCCAGATCGTATCAATCAACCAAACTTCCTTCCTTTAATCTTTAACTTTTCAAGCCACAGAAAATGGAGGCACCTCCCACCAGTGAACTGTTCGTTTTTTCTTTTGGTTACTAATATGCACCGGGTTAATGCAGGGATAGTTAAGCTAGTGTTGTGATTAACAATTTTAAGCGTTGCTTCTCCTTGGGAGCTTTCCATTAAAAGCGATTATGGAGAAAGAAAGTGTATTTTACCTGGTATTGCCGACCTTGTGCTAACGTGCGCTTAGGCCTAGTCTTTTCTTCGTTTAAAGGTATGGATATGCAATTTCTTGGCTACTTATTTTATTATTATTTTATTTTGTTCAACCTACAGTTAGCAAATTAATTTATAAGATAAGAATTTAAAATTTTTGACAGATAAAAAATATTTAAATTTTATTATTTGCATGAAAAAAAATCACACGTCATTCAATTAAATTAAATTAATAAAAAAATTAACTGAAACAACTGTCGGAGCGTCTAAAATAAAAAATTATCAAAGGAATACTTTGGGGATGACTGAATTAGGGTTTCAACTCTTGTTGTTTACGAAAAGAATGAAAGAAGATGGGTTTCATTATGAAATTTGCAGAGAATTTGGTATTGAGGTTAATGGAAGACCAAAAAAGGGTTGAAAAATTTAGGGAGCACCTTTACAAAGTTAAGGATTAATGCCACAAAACCAAGGAGATGTGGAATTATCCTCTGCGACCTTATGGTTTCGGACATTTGAGCGCCACAATGCCCAGCTCCGTTGGGATGCTTAGATTGGCCGGGCATGATCCTTCTGATAATCTTCTTGAAAGCAACTATGGCTCCTCCAAATGAATCCGAGGTTTGATTTTTCAAAACACTGAATGGTGGGATTTTATGGGAATTGCAGTCTGAGAATGGTATCATCGTTGGGCAACTGGACTAGCTTGCTAATCTTTTGGAGTAATATTGTTTGAGAAATATAGTGTAATCGTCGCTGAGAATAAACATGCTGTGCCCAAGTAAGGAATCTTCTGAAGTCAGCTGAACAGGCACATAATCGGCATAAGACGTTGGGGGAGGCTGCAGGCATGTGGGTTTCAATTAGACATTCGATGATCTAAAACTTGATAACATGTTAAAAAAATTTTAAATTATGACAGACATCTATGTATTATATGAAATTTTAGAATTGAATCCTTATACTTCAATACACAAAATTTTAATTTTTTCATTATTTTGATTTAATAATTTCAATTTGATTATAAAATGGTGTCAATTTATCATTGTTAAAATTAATTATGTGAATTTTGACCTACTGATATGTATGTTGATCGGATTTATGTGACCGAGTAAAAAAAATTTATAATGCTAATGTGTAAAAAATAATATCAAGTGACTAAAAAAAAATTATATTGATTTAATAATCTCAATTCAATCATTAATTCTTTTTTTTTATTAAAATTATTGATGTAACATCTGATCTAATGATACCTCCATAAACTTTTTTTACATGACATTTTAATTGGTGTATATTTGAATAACATGTTACATGACATTTAATCCATGTTAGATTTAAACTTCTTTATTTAAAAAAAATAAATCTTAATAATTAAATTAAAAGAATTAATTGTTAAATAAAAATACAAACTCAGATTTTGATATTATACAAACCAAGACTCTGATAACGCCATCATACTAACCACAATCGTTGATGTTGGTCGTCATGTACCAACTTTAAAATGTCTTCAAAATTTATCTAAAAACTCCCTTTAATTTTTTCTATAGATTTATTCAGAAATAATCTTTTTTCACGAAAAACCAAAGAAATATGAATCTTAAAAATCTAGATAAACTATTAACGTTACCTGCAATGATCACCAAATTTTTTTTGAAAATTTCCCTCAGCCTCTCCTAGGTTTTTACTATTGAGTTTTGAAAAATAATTTTTAAAAACCTCTTGAATCCCGAAATTCTCAAAATTCTAATTTTCACTAACTTTTGCTGAACTTTCTCCAAACTTGATAGCCAAATATACAGTAGCTAGAAATAAATCTAGTCACAAATTTCACTTAGTCATAATACACACAAAGCAAGAAAAACACACACAATATATCTATGATCAAATCCTTGGGTACAATGATGGATAACGCCATGATTTTTGGGCACCCGATTGCAATTTGGATGGTATGACATTGGGACTTGAGGTTTAGTTTAAAACCCAAATGGATTTTGACCCATATGAAAAACGTTAGAGAGATCTGAAGGTGATGTTGGGTTTGCAAAAAATTTAAAGGAGGAGAGTTAAGGTTAGTTTGGAGGAAAGAAAAAGAGTTAGAAGAAGCGATACCCAACTATGTCCTTGTAAGAGAATGGATGAGATATGAGACACAACATAATTGTTCGATTTAAGTTCATCAATTAGAAGAAAAATGTGTTATTATTATTATTATGTTAGAGTTGTAAAATGGTTTGATAAAACAATGAGAGTAAAGAGAGTGCATTTGAGTTTTAATTTGAAAGTTTGATTTTGTTTTTTATTTTTTTAATTTTAAATTAATTTTTTTTAGCTAATCATATTAATAAAAATAAATTAAATGATTTAAATAAAAAAAAAGTTAAAATATAATGTGCTATTGATTTTAATTTGATGTGATAATAAATTAAATGATTTAAGTTTAAGAATTTTTTTTAAAATATTGATGTATTACTAATTTTAATTTGATGTGATATTTTTAATGTGTACGTCATCATAAAAAATAATTTTAATAAATTAATATATCACATCATCCGTGAAATCAACATATATGTGGGTAAATTAATTGTCATATCATCGTAAAATTTTAATGGTATTTATGATTAAATTAAAATTATTATTTATAAATAATATAAAAATTAAATTTATATGAATTATAATAAAATGATTAAATTTAAAAAAATATTGAGAAATACTGATGGACTCAACTTTAATCATATATTGATATTTACCTTGAGTTCAAATAATATAACTTGAACAATTATTAATTAAAAATGTAATGAATTAAGAAAACAAATGTTGTGAGGCATTGTTAATTATAAATATTATAAAATATTATCCAATATGAGATTTGAAAATCTACTTTAATGATTTTGTTTAAAAAAAAATGCGGAGAAAAGTAAATTGTGGCTTTACAAGTAACGACAATTATTCTCATATTTGTATACTTTTTCAAAAGACAAAATCATAAGAAAACAAATGTTGTGAGGCAATGTTAATTATAAATATTATAAAATATTGTCCAATATGAGATTTGAGGATCTACTTTAATGATTTCAAGATTTTTTGTAGAGTGTCTCTTTATAAAATATATATATATATATATATATAAAATTATAAATGAATTTATTAATTTTATAAATAAAAAAAATTCATAAAATAATATTATAATGTTTAAAATTTCTTTTTTTTTTTTTAATATTTGGGGTATTAAGAGAAAAATTTTTAATGTGTCAACAATAAATTTTTTTTAATTTTTTATTTTTTAAGCGTCTATAAAATACATTGATCTTTGATAATTATTTTGTTTCAACAATCCTTACATAAATAATAATATGTCGATGAAAATGCACATAATCTCTCTAATACTTAATTCATACCTTTAAATAATGATGTCAGATGTTAATGAGTAAGATATAAAGAAGATAAATATTTTTCATTTTCATATGTTTATATTATATTCTCAATCCATATATTAAATTTATTTCATCACATTTATATATATATATATATCTAATAGATATGAATAATTTTTATATCAATAATTAAAAAAAAAATAAAAATAAAATTTATTTTTATTTATTTTTAATTGGTATGTTTAGATAAATTTTTATAAATATATATTAATATATTTTTAATAAAAATATATTAATTATAATTTATATTATTTAATAAAAATTTTATGTACTGTTATATATAAATCTATATATAGAGTACAAATATAAAATAAATATTATATTATCATATTCATCTCCGTATTTATAATATAATATTTATTTTTATTTTCATTAGAATAAAAATTAAAAATTTTATTAAATATAAATAAAATTGATATTCCTAAATACTAATATTGAGAGATAACGATCTCACTGTCTCGTAACCAAAAATTGAACTCTAACTTCATAAACAAAAATCATCCTCAGAATGTGGAAGCACATTTTCTAGAAAAAATTATGAAGGTAGTCCTCCAAACTCGTGGAACGAACAACAACTCTGAATGAGCGGATTAAAATAATTCTGCTATTTGTTTTCGTCACGTTAATTCTCAAAGCCACAAACTTTGCTTTGGAGTATGGCCCTTCCTTGGATAACGACAACAATAATAATGCAACCCAATTGATTCTTCAAAATTTTTTAAAGAAAAAATAAAAAATAAAGGAAAATTTATAGACAGCAAAGAGAAGCAAAAGTGGAGGCGTTTTCATACGGTCGGCCGCTTCACATGTATGTGAAGCCGCAACTGACCAAGACTTGGCTGTGTAGTCAAACATACACTACTAACCCAATTACAAACCGACAAGACAAAAACAGGGGTGTTTATGTCATTTCAAATGTTCAGAGACAGCTCTATTTGCGAAAGCTGGCGGTTGTAGCAATCAAAAGATATATAAACGATCGCAGGAAATCCAACGTACTTTTCGTTCACAGCTCCCATCCTCCCCATCTCTATTACTTACAAAAATCTGATAAAAAAAATTTGACACTTTGCATTATTAATTTTATTTATTTATTTAAATTTTCGTCCATAGATTGAATCGAATTCTCTGCAATTTCTACCTCTTTTTTCTTGAAGTGTACGTACTAAAAAAACTCAATTGTTGCTAGGAAATTCGGGTGGAAGGGGTAAAGGAAGAGAGAATGTGGGGATTTGGGGGGAGATGTTACTGGGGGAGAAAGGAAAGGGTGGAAAGAAGGAAAGGGGGAGGAAGAGGAGGGATAGTTGTGGTGTTTGCTTGGATGTCGAGCCAAGAGAAGCACTTGAACAACTACGTTCAACTTTACGCTTCTTTGGGTTGGGTTTCCCTCGTTTGTCATTCAGAGTTCTTAAACATGTATGGGTTTTAGCTTATTTCAGCTTTGATTTCCTTGTTTTAATGTTGGATGATGCTTTTGACTTTCTTTACCACTTGATTTCCAGTGCTTTATATTAGAATCCTTTACCCTTTTTCTTTTAATGCATGATCTTGAATTTCTATGATGATTTTACATTTCTGATTCAAAAGGGAATAGGTTATGCAAATATCATGTATATGAAGTTGAGGGTTATTGGTTAGAATTGCTGCATATTCTCAAATGCCTTTGATTGATACTTTTGGACTGAAATTTGATGAGCATCTTCTTAATGCGATTGACTTTGGAGTTGGATTTGATGTTTGTAACCTGTGCAGGTTCTTCCCGGACAAGGCTGCTGCTTTAGCACTTGATCTTCTTAAGGAACTTGTTGAGGTAATTCAGTTCACTCAATCAGTATGTTCAAAAAAGGGAAAGCTTCAATTTAAATGGTTTCCTCTGAACACAATCTCGGTTTGATATCTGTAATCTGGCTGGAGTGTTTCTAGATGTGTTAGATTCTATAGATTGGGGCACATCTGTTGATGGGAAGAAGGATTTTTCTCTCAATGCTTTCAGTATTCCCTATTTTTTAGTCTTCACTTCTTCAGTAATCCTGTAGTGCGAAATTTTACACTTTAGTACATTGAGTGGGTTTTTCTCTCTTTTTTCTTTTGTTGAATGTAGGAGCTAAAGATTAGGCCACACCCTGTGGTCTTTGCATCTTTTTCTGGTGGTCCTAAGGCCTGCATGTACAAGGTTCTTCAGGTAATTCTTTCAAACTTTGAAACTCCACTTTACCTATATGTTAAAATACTTGTTTCCTTTTTGTTTCTGTGGTGATATAGTTTCGTGGTTTCTTTGCTGCAGATGATTGAGGGATTGTGTGATGCACGAGTAAATCCAGTATGTTCTCTCTCTGTCAAAATGATAACTTTTTAAATCATGCCATTGTATATCCAATATCGTTCTTTCCCATTTTTATGATTTCTAAATAGATAAAACATATGTTTTGTTGTTAATGAAGCTAGTATCACATCATTCCTGGAAATTATTGTTTCTCTTTCCCATATGACATAAAAATCAACTTACTATTGGTATAATGGCATTTGTGGAAAAATGTTTTCCTGGAGTAATAATCAATGTGGTTTATTAACAGTATTACGGACATTTAATTTCTAGTTGTCTAGTTAATCTTCTTTTACTTCTTGTGAAGGATGACCTCCAATTGGTGAAGGAGTGCTTTTCGGGCCATATTTTTGATTCTAGTCCAGTGGATTTTACTAGTGATTTGGGTGCTCGATTTGTTGTTCACCCAACAGTTCTCAAAATGTCTCATCCACCAAGAATAGCATCATGGATAGCAAATGGCATTTCTTCTGGTCTTGATGCTCTCTTCCTCAGCAGGTTTGAATCCCATCGTGCTGAGTATTGGCAGACTCTATATGCCTCCGTTGTAAGTGTACAATAACTAATTTTATTTAAGTTATTATTTCCATTTTCTTTTATATTTACAGTTTATCCATTACCAATCTTGTGCAGATTATGGGGGCTCCATATCTCATATTATGCTCTGAAACTGATAATCTTGCTCCTTATCAAATTATCTGCAATTTCGCTAAAAGAATACAACAACTTGGGGGTGACGTAAAACTTGTGAAGTGGAATGGTTCTCCACATGTAGGTGAGTTTCTAATCTATGAGAAGATGCTTCTAATAAAACATTTTCATATTGTATATAACGTGTACATCGGGGTTTGATAGTGCAGTAAGAACATATTGAAAATGAAATGAAAGGGATTGGGCAGTGGGAGCCTTGCAACTAATACTGGTAGTCATTCATTGATGTTCAAGTATGCATCACATGCTGTAGCCGTCATTTGTTCCCGTTTCATTAAACATCGTGAAGCATATGGTTTTTGCTTGCACAAATCCAGATAGCATAAAAATTTGGTGTCTTTTTTACCAAATTACTTAAATAAGAAAACTTCCAGAAGGACCACATGTTTATGCTATATGTTTGAAAGAAACATGTTCTGGTGGAGACCCATGTTATTTTATTGCATAAAACATGGTTGTATGTTTAATATCTTAAACATAAACCTAGCTGATGCAGCAGTAGAGAAAAATTAACAGAAAATACAAAAATGAGAGAACAAAAAGATCAAAGAGAGAAGGAGAAGACATAAACAATAGGGAAATCTAAAGCCTATAATGGTTTCTTAGTAGTCAAAGCCTCTTGATTTGAAAATAACTGATTATGTATAGGCTACTGCATACTGCTTGGTAGCAAAATTAATGTAGATGACTTAGATAACTTTAAAAAGCTAGATATATGATTCATGGAAGAGTTTTTAAAATACATAGAATTAATATAATTCTTTTATTTGCAGCTGTATTTTTAATTTCTCGATCAAATCTGAAAGCTTATTCAGGCAATAGCATTGATATATCCAACTTGTCTCAATTAATGGTATTTATAGGTCATTATCGGCATTATCCAATTGATTACAAGGCTGCTGTGACTGAGCTTCTTGGTAAGGCAGCTGCCTTATATTCTCGAAGAATTCAACAACTTGAGGGTGAACGAATGGGATCAGCAGGGGCAAATTATGAAATCTCTGAGCCAATCTCCAATATCGGCAGCAAAACAGCCTTAAGCCCAAATCGGAGTTTTCATGGAACTTCTCTGGTGCAATGTGATAATTTCCTCTTGCCTAGTTCAATAGAATATTATGAGGGTAGAGAACACGAGGAAAGTTTGATCCGTTTGCCCCACCCACAAAGCTTTAACGCCCATGGGGTTCTTGGTCAAATCCTTTTTGATGTCTGTGTTCCCAAAAATGTTGAAGATTGGGATATAAAGTCATCACATCCCTCAATCAGACGCCCATTTACTTCTCCACGGCGAAATTCCCATTTTAATCCAATCAAATGCATTCGGAGATCCAGGCTATAACATATTTTGCTGACCACTTTTGGAAGTCTTGTTCAAGAATTTGCAGAATCCGTTTTCCTTTTCTGGCTCGAGAGTTCAATGGAGGAAATGCTCAATATGTAGGGATGACGGTATGTGATTGGAAGTTTTCTGTTTTGTTGGACAACAAGAGGTCACTGCCATGATTTGAGATGATCGACCTCTGTACTAACATAAAATGTATGGTGACTTTACTAGAAAAGCTCTAACTAGATGTGGAGTTTGTCAGAATCATCACCATTATAATGAAAATAAGACTACAGTACTAGCTTAGATGATGGAACTAGGGAAACCAAGTTTCCCATTTCATATATGTATCATTGCTTTGGTTCCATTTATTAAATGTTCCTTGGGACCTGACATGTTTTAATTTTGAACGTTTTCAAGCTTGCCACATGTTTTAAACTAAATCTGAATGTTTTACATCTTAAATTTTATTTACTTACGCCAACTCTTAACTCTTACGGTGGAGCTTACCACATGTTTTAAATATGAAAGTCTTCCAAGCTTGTGACATGTTCTAATCCTAAACGTAAAATACTTTCTTTGCCAAACTTTTTAAACACCGAAAATAAAAAGGAAAATTAAGCACTACTAGCAAAGGATTAAAGATTTTAGCCTACTTTCCAAATAGGGTAAAATAAGAACTGTTAGGAGGGTAATACGGTCTTTATATCATAGTATACGTTTACAAATCTTTGATTCAGAAATCCTCAGCCATGTTTTTGACTTTGGAAGCGACAAAAACATGAAGATACTTGTAACTGGCGGATCGGGCTATCTCGGAGGAAGGCTGTGTCACGCTCTGGTGAGCCGTGGTCACGCCGTCCGTGCCCTGGTCCGGCGCACCAGCGACCTGTCTGGGCTTCCTTCACCCCTCAATGGCGCCTCTGTGGAACTTGCATACGGTGACGTCACCGACTACCCATCCCTTCTAGATGCCTGCTCCGACTGCGACGTCATCTTCCACGCCGCTGCCCTCGTCGAACCCTGGCTTCCCGATTCTTCTAGATTCTTCTCTGTAAGCTAACTTGAATCTCACTTCCCACTTAATAACTCATCCAGTTACATTTGTACTGACATGTCAAATCTATTCAAAAAAAGGTCAACGTTGGTGGTCTGAATAACCTGTTGCAAGCAGCTAAGGAGACAAAGACAATAAAAAAGATCATATATACGTCGTCGTTCTTCGCTCTTGGTCCTACCGATGGATATATTGCCGATGGGAATCAAGTAAAAGAAAAACAGTTAATCCCCCTGATTAAAAGATTCAATAAAAAATGAAATTTGTTTGTGATTTTCTAAATTCTGATTGACAGACACACCCTGAAAAGTTCTTCTGCACGGAGTACGAGAAATCAAAGGCGGCCGCCGATAAGATTGCTTTGCAAGCTATAGCTGAGGGTATGCCAATTGTTCCGGTTTATCCTGGTGTAATTTATGGCCCTGGCAAGCTTACCACGGGCAATGTTGTTGCTCAATTAGTAAGATTTCTTTCAGTTTATGCCTTTTTTTCTTCTTTTTTTTTTTTTTTATAACAAATGTAATTTTATTAATTCAAAACATTGAAATCTAATTTTCAGCTAATTGAACGGTTTAATTGGCGTTTACCTGGTTACATAGGCCGTGGAAATGACAGATTTTCTTTTAGTCATGTTGATGATGTAGTAGAGGGTCATATTGCAGCAATGGGAAAGGGTCGACCTGGGGAAAGATATTTACTCACTGGAGATAATGCATCATTCAGGCATGTTTTTGATATAGCTGCTATTGTAACTGGAACTTCTAGGCCTAAATTCAACATCCCTCTAGGAGTTATTGAAGCTTATGGGTGGATTTCTGTCCTGTTTGCTCGAATTACAGGAAAGCTTCCTCTCATTAGTCCCCCGGTATGCTCTGCTCTATTGCTTCTAGTTCTGGTCTTACTTTTCGATTGACACATCCCTTTTTTATGCCATGCTCTCCAAATTGGTTAACATCGGAATTCTTTGTCTTTCCTCTTCATATTCCTAGATTTGCATAGCCTTTTTACAAGATCCCTGTATTCTATTTTGAGCAGACCGTGCAAGTTTTAAGACATCAGTGGGCATATACTTGTGACAAGGCCAAAATGGAGTTGGATTACAGACCTAGAAGCTTGAAAGATGGGCTTGAAGAAATGCTCCCCTGGTTGAAGAGCTTGGGCGTGATAAAATACTAAAAACTATTAACAACATATACTAAACTTGATCCGACTCATTAGGCCAAAAAAAGTATGTAATAAAATGCTGAGAGGAACCTATTTTTTGATGCTGTTTCGTGCTGTCTGCAATTCTTGTTTGGAGCAATTAAGAAACTAGTTTGGTTCTGTGTTAATAAACAAGTACCAGTGGTGTACAATTGTCTACCTTGCAATTCCAAATGATCAAATGTATCATAAACTGAAATACTTAAAAGCTCATTTCTATCAAACCTGTTCAGTTTGTTTTGATGATGATTATTCATTCGGCAGTTTATGATTGATAAAAATAGATTAAGACGTTTAAAAAAGAAGCAAGAAAGAGAAAAGGATGAAATTGTCAAAACATTCATTCATCTCAAATTTTGATTTTGAATTTGATTGAACTGGCGGTTCTGTCGAGGAAAAATAATAAACCCACCTAAATCAAAATGAGTGAGAGCCCAACGGTCGAATGGGTAGTTCCCTATAAATCTAGTTAGTCACAGTGCCAGTCCCCTTACGCCAATTGCAAACAAATTTGTCCTTGATTCTCGACAAAAATGGTGGTAGACAAGCAGGAGTGGTCGTACGAGGAATGCCGTCGGAAACGAGTCGAAGAAAACAAGAAAAGAATGGAAGCGCTCAATCTACCCCAGCTCTCTCAAGCTCTTCGTACCCCATCTTTCAAACCATCTCCGGTTTGATCTCTCTGCAATTTCTTCATCAGTTTTTAACATTGTACTAAGCTGAAGCTTTACTATGATAAGTTCATTTATTCCCCAACCAGCAGAAAAAACAGGTGAAGCCGCGGACAGTCGAAAAACAATTGGTTGTGGTTAGGAGATCGGGTCGTGTCGCTAACAAATCCGCACCTGTTTACAAGGAAGTCAGTAATTTCTTTAACTCTGTTCAATGGTTTCAGTTAAAGTTAAAAAATTTGGCATTTGTTTGACTTTGTTCTCTTTTAAAAGGTTCTTGTGGAAAAAGTGATGATACCTAGAAGGTATGGTTTGGAGTTTTTTGTAAGTTTGATTTAAGTAGGTGTTTAAAACTTAGTACTATAGTTAATAATGTTTGTGGTAAATGTAGGATATCTAAGCATAGGGATTTGTCGAACCGGGTGTATGCTTCGGATGAAGCCAGGGCAGATGCTTTGGAGAAAGCAGACAAGTTGGAATCTGGTTTAGAGCCTGATTTTCCTTCCTTCATAAAGTCGATGCTTCAATCTCATGTCACTGGTGGATTTTGGCTGGTGTGTCTATCAATTTAATCTGTGGCTTATTTGTTTTTTTTTTTTTTTTTTAATTCTCTCCACAGATGATAACTGGGTTTGGGTGGGTTCGGATTGAGTTATCTTCGAATTAAGATTTATTTCGGGTTTGGATTATTTGGGATTCGAATACTTTTGGATTTAAGCTTTTTCAGGTTTGAATAATTTTGGATCTAAATAATTTCAAGTTCGAACAATCTCGGATGCGGGTTATTTCTGATTTAGTTCGGTTTGTGTTGGGAGGATTTATTGTTTAGGCGAATTCAAAAAAATTTATAAATTTTGTAAGTTATAATCATATTTTTGTAATTTTGAATTAAAGATTAATTTCATTTTTTATATTATTAAATAAAAATATCACAAAATATTAATATTAAAATTTTAAAAATAATATATTTATATAAATATATATTATATATTAATTTTGTCTTTAAATATTATCCAATATTTTTTAGTTCATCTTACAAATTCAAATAAAAACTAAAATATTCAAATTTCACATAATTAAATAATAGACAATAAATAAAAATATTATTATTTTTATATTAACATTTACATAAATATAATAGTATTGTACATATATCAATTGACCATATTTAATTAAAATATTGAATAATAGATATTATTAAAATAATTAATATAATCTAATAATCTGAAGTCTAACAAATGTAATTACTTAAACATAATTAACTTTAATATCAATAAAGTATAAAAATTATTGTATTAAAATTATTACTAGTGTACTATAATTTTAAATTATATTTTAATTTATTACCAATAATAAATAATTATTTCGATTCTCACTTTAATTTAATTTTTAATAGTTATAATAAAATAATTACATTAAATTTCTTTTTATCTAATATTAAAATAAAAATATAAAAATTATGAAAAAATTAACTAAAAAAACTGGCAGCATATTAAAAAATCATTAGAATAATTTTTTGTTTTATATTGATAATTATTGTAAATATAATAAGATGATAGTATTAAAAATCATTACTTATTAATATTTAGTGCTACAAACTAAATTTATTTAATAATCGAAATTAAAATTTTAATGTTAATTTTGTTGATATAATTATTTAATAATTATCAATAATAACATTTTAAAATTTAAAATTTTTAGTTAAAATAATATTTATTTTTTTATTTAAAAAATCATATTGGATCAATCTTGAGTTTGGATTATTGTGGATTTGGATTATGATAGATTTAAAATGTATCGATTTCGAATTTTTTCGAATTCAAATTTTTTTAAATTGAATTTTTTTAGGTTTCGGTCTTTGATGTTTTTTTAATTAATTCGAGTTAATTCGAATTCAATTATAGATCAATTAAGATAGATTTTCAAGCTCGGATCAGCTTTGCCACCTCTAAGCAGCATCGTAGATTTATAGTGTGGCTCATGTCTTTTCTTTTACTGTTAATGCATGTTTTTGAAAAAGTTTGGGCTTTCACCGTGCTCTTCATGCCATTGCTTGTGATAGAGTAGTTTTTAGTTCTTGTTCAGCAAATTTGGATTTTGAAAACAAAATTATGTTTAGGGTAGAACTTGCCAATTCTTTATGCCGAAATTAAATAAACAAATGTATTAGCTAGTTGATAACAGTATAAAAGTATTGGATAAAAAAAAAAGCTAGTTCATAACAGTAGCCTGTAAAATATATTATGGGGTCGATATTTGGTAGATTGCATTTGTTTGCTAGTATATTTTTTCTCTTATAAACTTCTAGTCCATTTGTGTTATTTGAACACTTCTCCTGCTAAAGGCATGATCTTTGAAGATTTGTGTCACTTTTCAGTTTTCACGTCTTATTTCAGTTAATCAATAATGGCTTATGGAGTGTAAACTTTAATGATCTTTAGAATAGTACCGAAAATTATGTGGTATTGGTTGGAAACTTAAGAGTTTTGAAAAGATTTCCTATTTTTATACTTAAGCTTAGTGGTCAGCTGAGTTGGTTTGTGATTACCACATAAGATTGAGATTGATCATTTCTGCTGGTAGTGATGATATCTGCATGTGTTCATCCCAAAATAACTGATTGGTTCGTAATTAGAATGAACAAGACTTGAACGCTTCATATAATTTTGGTTTCATATGACACTCATCAATCAGTTGGTTTTAAAGAAGGAAATAAAAACTGAAAATGAAAAAGAAGGAAAAGGGTTCTGTTCCTTTGCATATTAAAGACTGTTAATTTATCAATGAAGTAATGGTTGATTACTATTTACTGAAATACGTGGACAGGGCCTTCCAGTCCACTTCTGCAAGAGGAATCTTCCAAAGCGTGACGAGGTTATGACTTTGATAGATGAAGAGGGTCATGAGTATCCAACCATATATTTGGCTAGAAAAACTGGACTTAGTGGTGGATGGAAAGGGTTTGCGGTTGCTCACGAGTTGGTAGATGGGGACGCATTAGTTTTTCAGTTAGTTCGACCTACAGCATTTAAGGTGATTCATTAACTTTAATATTCTTGTTCATCCTCAGATGATTTCATTGATTCGTAGTAGAATGTAAACTATTCCTTTCTGTTGTTGTTGGCTTCCATATTGCTTTGACAAATTAAATGTGAGGATGTCTAATATGTTTGATAACCCATCACCAAGTTCTATCTTTTCTTTCCAACAACACAAAAACAATCATACTTTTTGTGTTCCATGTTTGTAAGCCCTCCTTTATCTATGATGGATGAGCTTCTCTATGGAATTATTGCAGTGACAAAAATTGTATATTGATTTGCTTTGATTTTCACTTTTTCTTTCTTCCTTTTTAGGTTTATATTATAAGAGTGAAAGGTCCTGAACAAAGTAACAAGCTATAAGCTTCAAACAATTTGGATGTTGAAGCCATACCAGCAGAGCCAGTTTGGGCAATCATTTTGGGTGAGTACCTGCTCAAGTTATGATCATCATTGATATCTTTTAATAAATCTCTTGACCTTTTATTAATGTTACGTGCAATATAATCATGATAAAGACATCCATTTTGGAATCCATATCTTTTTCTTATAACTTACAACATGTTCAATTTGTTGCATGCTTTGTTAGTCTTCCAGGATTGGGACCTACTTGAACACTTGTCACGGCCTCTAGGGATCTTAGGAATGAGACAGTCACCTTGTCTCTCACTCTATTGACATTTGAAGCATGGCACATGGCCATAATTTGCATCTTAATCAATCAAAGAGAAAACTGAAAAGTCTATCAAACTTTCATTTTCAAACTTCAACTAAGCTTGTTTAGCAAGAGACAGTAAGACAAGTTGGATAAGGCTGAGATTGTGGTTTAAATAGATGCTGACTTACCTGGGTAGACTCATTCAGTGCTGTTAATATTTTCCATCTATTGTTTTTGCATCTGCTTTGAAGCCTTCCAATCCTATGTTCCCACTGCTATTTCTTTATAACTAATCAACTTCGGATTCACTTTTTTTTTTTTATTATTATTATTAATTTCGTTGTTGCAGGTAAACAGGTTCAAAGGAACTGCCATTATCGTGCCTTTAAGTTTTGTCAAACGATGTGGTTGAGAAAGTACTTGCCCTGTTCATAGATTTACATAACCCCAGGACCCTGTAACACATTTATCTATTCCAACTTTACACTACTTTAATAACTATATATTAAGTTATTATTGCGGCCTCTTTTGATGTCGGCGTAACTTTCAAGTCCAAACGCATAATTTTTTTCTCCTGCATATATCAATTCATAATTGATGGAACCAGCTAATATCATTCTTATGTTTTTTGGAACAAGGCAGCCTTGATTCTTGGCTGGTTTCCCTCCCATTGATACGAAGCATTCCCAACATCAGTCTTTTTCCCTTTGTTTTAACAAGGATTTCACTTATTTATTTTTTTACAGTTCATTTAGAGAGACTATTGATAATAACACTCAATTTTAAAATTTATAAATAAAATATTCAAAATTTACCGATTCTTGGGACAAAAATTTCTCTTATATCCCTGTTTTTCCTGTGTTTTTATTCAACACTTGCTGGGCAATGGCAAACAAAAACAAAATATGACCCCTGCAGCCCCTTTTTATTTTTATTTGATAATTTATGTATTTATATAATATAAAATATTTATATTAATATAAAAATATAAAAAATATTTTTTATTTTATTTAATTTATTTTTAATTTTTATTAAAATTTTCAATTATATTATTTTTATATATTTTATTTATATTATTTTTATATTATATTATGGTATGGTATTTAAAATTACTAAATTTACCTTCTTCCGGCCTGCAAATGCAAATAAGCAGGACATTCAGCTTCCCACGAATCCAACTTCCCACGAATCCAAAACAATGCCGACAGAGAAATATTGTCATTGACCTGATCCTCATTTCTTTCTCTCACGGATTTTCCATTTTTCCTCAATAACTGGGTATCATTTTAATGCATACGCCTGACGCTACGCGCCTTTGCCTTTCACCATCATCTGCGAGTGGCATTAGAGATTGTAGGTATAAATTGGCGCCGAGAATTTCGGAGTCGTCCAAATGGTGGTCAAAGGGTTAGGTTGGCAAAGACATAGGATATTTGGTGCCTAAATTATGTGGGCCATGGGCTACAGGCTCAGGCTGGCCCACACCACTCACAACTACGTGACGTTAACCGGCGAAAATGCAATTTTCTTTTTAAATTAAATATCTTTTCTTTTTTGCATGCTTCCTTCCTTCCCCCGTATCCTAAGCAGCAGCTGGGAAATTGACAAATTGACTAAGTCCCTTCATAAGTTTTGCTATCATGCGCCCACGCGTCGTTGTTGCTTAACCGGCGCCAGCCCTCTCTTAAATTAATGCTCTAATTAAAAAAAATCAAATAACAAAATTAAATAAAAATAAGGGAAAATGGGTAAACTGTGGCCCACGAATATGTCTCGTTGTGGGCCAGAGTCCAGAAAAGTACCTTTCCTCGTGATCTTTTGATTCTTGATCATCCAAAATCGGACGGTCCAAAATCTCCCCCAGCCCGTGATACCGCCCAAAGGTCAACACAGCAAAACTAGATTCAACGGCTTGAAAACGGCTCTTTTAGCGACGCCGTTTTTGCCACGTCAGATATTAAAACGGCCAAAAAAAGAAGAAAGCCGCTTCATTTCCCATCGTAAAAGGAGTTTTGGTTTTTTTTTTTTTTCCGTCTCTTTTATCTGTCTCTCAAAAACGAGTTTTTCAATCAACAAAGAATGGAATTTTTGCAGGACGCCGGGATCCGCGTTTCTCGATTGCAGCGACTAATCCAATTCATCGCGTCGTCTTCTCATTCTCTTCGCCCGTAATCTCCTCCTTCAGCTTGCTATCAGCCGATTTCTCTTCCTCCTCCATCCCTTCTATTTCTTCACACTGTAATTTTCTCTATCTCTTTTCCTTTAGATTATATATCTTTTTCCTTCGTCTCATTTCTATTTCTCTTTCGGCATCGCGATTCGTTCTTTTTTTTTTTTCCCGTTATGATTAATAGATTTATAGGAATATCTATAATGTGTTGTTGTCTACATTGACACTCCGTTTCTTTATTATTTATTTAGTTTTTTCGGTTTTGATGTAAAATCTGATCGTTCAAATTTTATGAAAATTAGGTTTTCTAATTCTTTGCCGAAGATCTCGTGTTTTTGCTCCAGCCATGGCCGTCTAATCTCTTTATATATATAACGGATGATCATCTATCGGTTAAATTCTTTGTTTTTATCGATTATTTTGCGATGAGATTTGATTATTGAAATCTACATTCCGTATCTTTCAGGATTTTTTTAGTGTAATTCATGGACAGTTAGAGGTTTTAGTTACTGGTGTGGCGTTTGGATTTGGAAATTCGGAACAATGTCTTCGCGAGGCGAACATCAAACGGTGCCGTTATCTGTTCTATTGAAACGAGAATTAGCAAACGAAAAGATCGAAAAACCGGAGATTGTACACGGACAAGCGAGCCAGAGCAAGAAAGGTGAAGACTTTACGTTTCTTAAAACAGAATGCCAAAGAGCAGTGGGAGATGGTGTCACCACATTCTCAGTTTTCGGGGTATGAATTTTTCGTGTTTCATATTAACTGAATCAATGCTAATCATATACCATATGCTCGAGCAAGAGGTCGCCTAATTCACCTTAAAAATCTGTAATTTGCATAAGGCATAGTCGTGTGATTATCTGTACAATTTGTTTGGTTTCACGCAAATATACTTGTCATCATCTATTTGCTTTTCGAAATCCTTGGTAAGATTATCTTTCAAGTGATGCATCCTTGATGTTCTTTATTGTTTTTACTTTTCTTTTTTTTTTTTTATAGGTTGGTTTTGCTAAACCATTTTTTTTTGCAGCTCTTTGATGGACACAATGGGTCTGCTGCTGCTATTTACACTAAGGAGAATCTCCTTAATAACGTCTTAAATGCTCTTCCGATGGATCTTAATAGAGATGAATGGGTTGCTGCACTGCCTAGGGCTTTGGTTGCAGGCTTTGTTAAAACAGATAAAGATTTTCAAGAGAGAGGTATGAGTTGTTTTGAATTTTATTTTAACATATCTGAGTATAGCATATGTTTTATAGGATAACCTTTGGACAAAAAAGGACTATTGTCTCGATATAAATTTTAATTTTATTAGAATTGTGCACTTACTTTGGGAGTGTTTGTTACTATTTATGCAAATTGCATCTCTTTCACTCACTCCTTTATGGTAGCACATATGCTTATATCCTTGTAGAGTTAGATTGTATCCTATTTCACTCAACTAACTGTTTAATTTATCCCAATCATTTTATTTATTTTTTGGTGCTGCTTTTTGCTTTATGCGAGGTCCATGTAGATATAGAGTTTTACTGATTTATCATTAAGAATCTCCATGGAGAAAACATGCTTATGAGTAGGAAGAGTTGCAGTTTGGAATTTGATGGATTTTGTTTTGTGATAGTTGATTGTGGTTACTCTGGTGCTAACTGGGGTGACTCTTTGGTTATGGATGCTATCTTGGAGTTGTGGTGCTTTCCCTTGTATAACAAAAAGGGGATAGCAGATTAGCAGATGTTTACCCGTAGATCAGGATGTCCAATATTCGTATGATCTCATCATGGAAGATCTTTAGTTTATGACTATTTTCCCAGTAGTTAACTGATAGTACGTGAGATGTAAACTTGAAATTGGTATAGATATAGTCAACTGGGCCCCACCAATCAGTGTCCAGCTTGATACTTTTACCGCAGACACTCACCAGGAAGTTTCATCAATTAATTATTTTCCCGTGGTAATTTTACTTGAGCATATAAGTTCACTTACATAAGTGCATAATTTCTTCCACCCATTGGGTGGGGGTGGGAATTGGGATAAAGAAGAGAAAACATATTTTTAAGTTTTTTTTTTCTTTTAATATTTAAATTTTTGGTTAATAACTTCTTCTTGGGTTTCGCTCACATGTTTAGTATTTGATATACATGTTATGGTTTTCTCTCCAGCACAAACATCGGGAACAACTGTAACCTTTGTGATAATAGAAGGATGGGTTATAACAGTTGCATCTGTTGGTGATTCCCGCTGTATATTTGAATCAGCTGAAGGTGGAATATATTACTTGTCAGCTGATCATAGGCTTGAATGCAATGAAGAGGAGTAAGTTATTGACATAGCGTTTGCTGGATTTAAAACTTTCCGCTAAATATTGAGGTCTTACTTTCCGTTTTCATCTTACTAGGAGGGAACGAATCACTGCAAGTGGGGGTGAGGTTGGTCGGTTAAATACTGGTGGTGGTGCAGAGGTATCTTCTCTTCCATTAGAATTGTGCATCTTGTTGTTTTTGAGTGCTTTAACAAATTTTCTCTAGATTCTTAGCCTTTTCTTTCCAGCAGTGAAACTTAACACCCTCAAAATATATTGATGTGACTAGATGTGCAACCACTATACTTGGAAAATACAATCCAGAAGCTAGTTTCAGAAATTAGATGACCATGGAAAAGTGCAAAAAAAAGACATTAAAACTTATTTGATAATTGATGCGAATTGGAGGACCCCTTTGTAAAACTTATTAATTATAGCTGTAAAAATTGTGATTAGCATCAATTTTTCAGTATCTATCCTGTATAGATGCAGATTTAAAAAACATGATATTGATATGCTTGTAAACGATGATAAATTGGTCCTCTGTAGAGAATTTCAGTATCTGTAGTACAGGACAAAACTGTATATGATTAATTGGGTGGATCAAAGCTGGTGACCTAATGGTAAAGTTATTTTGTAGATTGGTCCTTTAAGATGTTGGCCTGGAGGCTTGTGTCTTTCACGATCAATTGGAGATATGGATGTTGGAGAGTTCATTGTTCCTGTTCCATACGTAAAGCAAGTGAAGGTTTGTCTTTCATAATCTACCTGCACGCTACATTTGATATCTGGTAGTTGGCCTGTCTTGATTTCTTGATTTAACTTCTGTGCTTAAATATTGTTTTTGTACATTTCCTTTCAGAGCACCTTGTTAATTTATTTTTTTTCCTGATGCTATTGTGCTAAGAAATTGTGTATGTACTTGGCTGTAATGGACTTCCTTGAACTTGGGACCGGTATCTTTTCTGAAGTCATGATTGTTGAAGGACATATTAGAGCCGTTAATTTCATATCCTTATGTGTCCTATAATCGCACATTGAAGTGCTTTTGCATTTGTATTTTTTTCTATTTTTTAACCCTAATCAGTTTTCTTTGTTTTACTAAATGTTTGACTGTGCTAGATTTTTTTTTTTTTTTCTGAAATTAGAAAACCCTTTCTTTGATTGTTATAGTTATTAATAGTTTATTTTACCTACTAGTTTATTTTCTGCAGTTGTCTACAGCTGGTGGTAGGATGATTATCTCTAGTGATGGTGTTTGGGATGCTTTATCAGCTGAAGTAGCTCTTGATTGTTGTCGCGGGATGCCACCAGATGCAGCAGCGGCACAGATTGTGAAAGTACACTCCTGAATTACTTTTATCTACACTATGCTCTTCAAATGTTGCTTCTGGGAGCACTATGCCCTTCTGGCTTTGCAATATGTTAGTATCAGTTGCCTTTCTTTATATGTCTTCTGACTCCTTGGTTTCCAATGAACAGGAAGCTGTACAGGCAAAGGGTCTTCGAGATGATACAACCTGCATTGTTGTTGATATCTTACCACATGAGAAGCCAGCTGCTCCTTTGCCACCACCAAAGAAGCCAGTAAAAGGCATGTTCAAGGCCATGTTTCGCAAGAAGCCTTCTGAATCATCTTCTTATGTCGATAAAGAATACATGGAGCCAGATGTGGTGGAGGAATTATTTGAGGAGGGATCTGCTATGCTTTCAGAACGGTTTGTGCTTATGAGAATCTTCTATTTGTTTAAATATGAAATTTATACTTCGATTGTCAGACCAAGCATCAGACCCATATATCTTTCATTTCATCCATTCTGTGTGGCATAGCTTGCTATGAATGAGGACAGGATAAAATAGTTTGTGCTTTTATCTCATGAGGAACACTTCTGTTGGATACAGGTTGGACACAAAATATCCACTGTGCAACATGTTCAAGCTGTTCATGTGTGCAGTCTGTCAATTAGAGATGAAACCTGGAGAGGGTATTTCGATTCATGCCGGCACATCTAATTCAGTAAGGTTGCGTCCATGGGATGGTCCTTTCCTTTGCTCTAGTTGCCAGGAGAAGAAAGAAGCCATGGAAGGGAAAAGATCATCTGGTGGTAATGACAGAACTCTCCCACTCCCACTCCCTCTCTCTATCTCTTTCTTTATTGCAAATTTATGTTACTAAAAGACCCTTGTTTTTCCTGTTTTCAGATAGACATAGTAGTGAAAGTGACTAGCTAGACCTCTTCAATTGCTGTTGCTCCTTGTGGGCACTAACAATTGTTTTGGAATTGGTCATAAATGGGTAAGATGGTGCATTCTCACTACAGTAACTCCCTTCAATTTCTTATTGGGGGGCATTGAGCATTCTGGTCCATTTGCAACTGAGGCTCCTGTTGGGTCTATACTCCAAGTCAGAATATCAGAGTTGAAATGTGTGTTTAGATTTCTGTTTTCGGGCTTCAGCAGTTAGAAGACTTGTTTACCTTGAGTGAAAATGGAGAAAGAAAAGATAAAAAAAATGAGAAAAGATAGGCTGAAGGGTTTCATATCCTTTGCAGTGCATGATGGTATGCCTCAGAGGTAATTCTTTTTTTTTTTTTTTTTCATCTGTGTTCAGCCCATTGTATAACATGCGCTCCAATTCATAGAACTAACACTAAATGATAGTGGACTTCAGTGTAATGTTATAATATATAGGGAGTCTGATGAGTACTCGATACACATTTGTCAGAAGTTAGGAGAAAACTTGTGCGATTAGCTTGCTGAATGAAATTTGTTCATGTACCATCGGACATTTGTTCCTTCCTTTGACAAGTAGGAAGGTAATCTTTGGAATAGAAAATTTGCAATTCCATTCTTTCTTAATTATAGACTTCCCGATTGGGATATATGTGTAGCCCCATAATTTCTGGTTTAATTTTCAATTCTATTTTCTACTGTTTTGATAAATTTGTTTTAACTAGCTGTTGTTCGTTAGTTAATGGTTTACGTTTAGCCATACATAGACATGCGTAGTTTATGTGTATATATGGCTTGATCTTTTATGATACCTAGTAGCTGGATCTTGCCGTGTCTGAGGATAGATATGTTGAGCACGGGACCAGCTTTGCTGTCGGGACGAGTAGACACCGCTTGGCTGGAGGATGTTGACTCTAGTCAATATGCATGTGAACTCGCTATCCACGCCCTCTCGCTATACCATTCAAGTTCTTTAAGAAGGCTAGTGCCCAACTTCTTCCCTCATTGTTCACATTAGAATATATATAAATAAATATATATTTATATATAAACAAAAAACAAGACAAGGGAGAAAAAAAAAAGCAAAAAGAAAAACAGAGGGAGATTACTGATCAGATATGTAAAACAATAGGGAATTTTCAGAACAAAAACTTTGCATAGAGAAAATATCCGAAGGATCATATCATATGATTTCTAACTTGCTTGCACGTTTTGTTTGATAATAAGATATAGAAAATCGATAGGCATATAAAGAGGGAGAGACTGGGGAAGTGTTGGCTTTAGTTCTCCCAGTTAACTGTTTCTGTCTCTGGAGGAGAAAGTGTATGAGATGTTGAGTGGGAAGTGGCAATAGCAGAAAAAGGAAGAGCTTCCCCACCCAAGTATCTTATATGGGTTTTGAACGTGAAATCTTTGTTTTTATGTCCTGTTTTCTTCTACCCCCTTTCCTTCTTATCTTTATAGAAATAGAATAAGATTTGAGTGGCTCGATTGACAAAGGTGAGTCAGCCCACCTAAATAATGCCTCCATGATTGAGAAATTGACCTTAATGAAAAAAATTCTTCCATGGGCAGTCTATGGCGGAAGGACCACTTTGTACACGTGTGTGGGTCTACCTTCTCACCTAACCGTGAAAGTTTTCTTCCATTCCATCTTCTCCCCCACAATCCATCTTTCTAAGTAACACATTCAACAGCCTCTGATCTTAATCGGACGCTTCAAACTTTGTCGCAAGATCAAATAGACCTATCCGCAGATGGTTGTTTTTCTTCCTAGTCTATATTCTTAAATTGACTGATGAATAAAAACCATTGCACCAACGCTGCTTTGCTTTGCAATTTGCCTGTCATATCTAAAGCTCAGCCATTCCTGTTGAGTTCATGATCAAACATCAATGGTGGGGTCGTCATCTCCCTCCCTAACAATGAAATCGTTTGCATTTTTACAGAGCTACACCACACTGTCTATCTAAATTCTTCAAACAATTTTACACGAGGAATTCAACTCTCAACTGCAGAAAATGTTTACAATGATGAAATATGACGCCAGTCCTATCTCATTTTTTGGTAAACCCAAAATGATAAATACTCCAATAAAAAACAAAATCAGCTTAAAATATTGAAAGTGGTGTGTCAAATCGGGTCCATTCCAAGAGAAAAACTTTGTACAAATGCAGAGGAATATGATTAACAAATGGTAAAGAAGAATGTCTATTTCAAATTAGTTGAACCTTTCGGACTTCAAAACATTGAAGACTTAAAAAAGTTTTGAACTCCATGGCCATGGGGCATGAAGCCTCAGCTCATACCATTCAATTCTTTGAATGACATCATTTCCTTGTCAAGATGAGCAATGTTTAACCTCGTTTCACACAAAACAATATACTAAATGAAAACCTTCCCATAGAAACTTGTCTGCATAAAGAGAAGATAGGTTATTCTTATTCCTTGGTAACAATGGAAGGATAAAAGTGGCTGGTTATATATTCCAAAACCAACTTTATAAGATTCCTCTTGAAATGAATGCACATCTTTGTGTGTGTATGTGAACATGACTCCTACTTTTTTTTTTGCCCCCACGGCCTTTTCATTGCCAGAACAACTCACATATAGAGAGAGACGCATACCCAAGAATAAAGTTTTGCTTTGCCATTCCATCTGTGTTTGTTGTGGGCAAATTTGGATGTTTGTGATATAAATTTCTTTTAATCGGCAGTTTCAGAAGCTGTTAGATTTGACAAGGACCCACCAACCCTTGATACATACTGCTAAATGTATCGTCTCGACTCCATGGTGCCCCTATGGCCACCGCACCCTCTCTCTATTGAAGAATAATGCAAAAAAAGTAAAATACACGTCTCATTTTCTGCAAAAGACACATTAAGCCCAACGCCAGTTTGACAACATTCTCTCTCTCTCTCTCTCTCTCTCTCTCTCTCTCTCTCGCCCCACTTCCTCCTAATCTCCTTAACCCCCCCTCCCCCCAAGTCTCTCTCTCTCTCTCTCAAACAAACAAACCCAAGGGAAGAAAAAGAAAGAGAAAAAAAAAGAAGAGAATTTCAGATACTGAATCAGATCTTGTTAGTTTTTGGAGGTAGGTTAATTAAAATCATGGATACTTATCAGCAGCAAAAGACCAGGGAGAAAGTTGTAGACAGGAAGCATGAAGAAGGCAAAAAAGAAGGCTCAGCATATAAGCAGCAGTCATCAATATCCCCTGCTTCACCTCCTTCAGCATCTTCCTCTCCTTCTCATGAATTCTCCTTCACATTCTCTCTCCACTCTTCCTCCAATATAGTCCCTGATAAAACCAAAACCCCACCTTCAATTGCAAACGATTTGTCTCCAGCAGATGACATTTTCTTTCATGGCCATTTGCTCCCTCTCCACCTCCTTTCTCACCTCCCAGTATCTCCACGTTCCTCTACAAATTCATTGGACACCTTCACCCTTCCCAAAAGAAAGTTACTAGATGACCCAAAACCTGAAAAAAATATCAGCAATTGTAGCAAAAGCGACAGCAATATCAGAAGCAGCATCAGCAGCAGCAACAAGAACCATGACGGGGTTACAAACCGTCATCAAAGCCACACCATTGAAGCAAAAGGAAGGCAGAAGTCCAAGTCTTTCTCTTTATTCGGTTTAACAAGATGGCAAAAAGGGCGTGGCTTTAGAGAAACAGAAGAAAAGGAGAAGCACAAGAAAAAGATGAGATTCGACGTCAGTCATGTATTAAAGAGGTACATGAGGATGGTTCGGCCTTTATTGTTCTTCAGAGGAAGGAGAGAGAATCTACATCTCCGTCGTCAAGCTTATTCATTTTCAGGTACCTTAAGTTCGAGAACCAAAAAGCAAGAGTTGAGAGGAAGGAAAGGAGAATATTCAGCTCCTGCTTCAATGAGGACATCTCCTACAAATAGTGGTCTTCTAGTTGCAACCACAGGTCTTCCTTCTTCAACCAGTGACAGCACCATGGAAGAGTTACAGGCTGCAATTCAAGCTGCAATTGCTCATTGCAAGAATTCCATTAGAGGGGAAGACAAACTTAAATGCTAAGCAGCTAATTTGGATTTTCCCGTTTATTCAACTTCCTTAAGTTATATTATTTTTTCTTCTTTTCTTTTTTTTTTTTTACTACATAGTTATATTTTCCTGTGTACAAAGTGGTACATATAATACAATAGTATGAAATTAGCTTTCAAAAATAAAAAATTTCTACATCTTAAAATGAAAAACTGATGCTTGTCTTGTCTTTACTCTTTACTGTGCCGAGTATGTCATAGTTTGGTGACAAGTAACAATTTGAATGTTAAAGATTTGATGAGGATTCAAAAATCTGTTCACATGATTCATTAGTTGCAATTAATAATGAAAGTCGTTTAGTAGAGCATTTCAGTGAGTTTTCCTTTTCCTTTTTTCTTTTAAATCCAACTACCCAAGTTTTACCAAAAAAAAAAAAAAAAAGAAGTTCAGTTCCATTATATTCAATGGAATACCACTGAAATGCTAAATCATATATTTTTCTGCCAAAAACCTATAATGATAAAATTTCAGCACAGACCAAGGGTCATAAATTTTCAGTAAAAAGATGAACACATCATCACCAAACCCACCATTTTTCATTTGTTCATTTTGCCTTGAAAATTTTATTTCTTTAACATTTTCCATAAATCAAACAGTGTTTATAAGAGCCCACATGAAAAGGCAAAGTTATTATCTGCTGCAGGTAGGGAAAGGAGTAAAGTTAAAAAGAGCACAGTGACTTTTAATCTTCAGTCCCTACAAGAAAAAGGCAATCAAAAGGGAACAAAAATCATTTGTGATCGTAGGTGCCATAAAAAGAAGTGGTATCAATGGGGGTTTAAAAAGCCCTGTGGGACTCATGACTTGACAGCTTCAGAATTTCACAAAAAGTACCAAGTACAACAAATTGCATATATATATATATATATATATATATATATATATGCATGCTATCAACAATGTTGGAGCTTAATATCAAAGACATGATTAATATAAAAAACCCATGATAATGATGAGGACGATGATAGATTGTAATGATGGAATCAATTGACTGAGTCCCCTTTTCTCTTTTCCATGGCCAACTTTGTATGATATATTTGTATGCACCAGATTATAAAACACACTCATATATCGAAATGGAAGTGCTTTTCCCAGTTGTTTCATTACCATCATCACGGCCAAAGCTACACAGTCTAGAAAAGTAAAAAGAAGGAGGCTAAACCGCGGAAGATCTTCCAAGGAGAAGATACTCTTTTTGGAGTATGTGTGCATGAGTTTACACAAACATGCATGCATTGCTTAAATTAGTTCAAACTAATATTTTATGGCTGAGATTTTAGATACAGGATGATTATCTGAAATCATGGAATTGACCAACTGGGAATTCCTTTTCTCAAACAGCAAGAAAAGAAAAGCCCCACAAGAAGGTGATGGCTGCAGGGCTCAAGAAAAAAAGAAATGAAGTCCCAAGATTGGGATTATAAAACAATCATGATATGTGCCATAGCCAACATATAAAATTATACTCCAGCATTCTATTCCATGCAACGTGGTTCTTTTCCTGAACACAAAGTCGGAAAAAAAAAACAGCCAACAAAAGAAGTAGAAATAGAGCAAAATCAGATTCTCTGATGCTTCCTGGATTGTTTGTTTCCTTTTGATTTTCCAGAAGAAAGTTACTGATGCAAAATTCAATGAACATGAAACAGATAATAGCAAAGGAGCACCTGACTGTGTGCGGCACACTTTCCCATCAATAACAAGGGAACGGAAAAAGACATTGAGATTGCTGTAATCATATGATGTCTCTATTTCATTGGACCAACAGAAAATTCCATATCTTCAAAAATCTTTAAAACAAGGGTTAAAGAAAATTTCGTGGAAGAACAGACTTCAAAACTGATGAGTTGAAGCACAAGATACAAAAACCCACAACAATCCGAAGCTCCATCTTTGGTTTACAATGCTGAAATGAAAGTCAAGGCCTAGACGACTTTTTACGATGTTGAAATGCAAGTAAAGGCCTAGACGACTTAGGATGTGATGAAAAATATCAAATTGATCAAATAATCGCTAGATTTGCGGTGTCTTGGAATTTAGACGCCCAAAGTATATGTATCACCAACGGTGAAAATTCCATACTGTTGTATCCAGGCTAGCTGGGCTGACCCAGGCTTTCTTAGGCTCTCAGCTATGTTGTTACCTGGGCTTTTGCTTCAATACTGTTGCACTTAAGAGATCAAGGGACCCAGCTACTTATGAACTGGCTGGGTTGTGCTTGGCCCTTTCGTTAGCACTTTTATTTTTTCAATTTAATTTTAAGATTGGCATGGATTAAATTTTGATTATTAGATTTATTTTTATTTTAATAATTGATTATAATTATTCAAAATAATATAATAATAAACTAATATATATATATGCTGTAATGCTTAAAAATATAGTAGTAATTTGTATGAACACATTCAAATTTCTATATGAGCTGCAATGGGAAAATGTTTACTTTGAAACTTTGATGAATAAATTTAATTACTAGTACTGGGAATTAACCTACCACGTACTAACAATTATAGAAATTCTCTGATATTTGACAAGTAGATGGAATATGACAACGATCCGCCTTACAGCATTCATGCATGAATACCTTGCATTTCACACTTGTTTCTTAGCTGCCAAATTGCCAATTTTATATCTTAAACAAATTAAACAGTCAGATAAGTCCACAAATCAAGTCAACATGTTAAGTTTGGCCAGCAATTTTGATCTGTCTAATGCCTTTCTACCAATCATTGAAAATTTTTTTATCCATGTTAGTATATCTTAATGATTGTCATGACATGTCAGTTTCATTGTTAGACTTTTCAATTTCCTTTACCATTGATATCTGTCTTAATTAATGCATAAGTTTCAATATTGCTTGTCATGATCCTAAACCTTGAAAGAAAATTGTATGAAAAAATAATTTAATCAAAAATATTTTCAGGTTTTGAATGAATTTAAAATTTTCATTTAATGATTTAAAAAAAAAACATTTTTTTTACATCAATTTGATAAATGTAACATTTTGGGTTTGGTACATGATCGATTTCATCTATTTCCCATCGACCCTTTTTTTTTTTTGTTTAATGACTATTTGCATGGCCATGAAGAGCCAAAATATTAGCATCTTCATTTATTAAAGGTAGCAAATTTCCCTCAACTCACCGCAACAGCTACACCTAATGTTCTAGGATATGAGTAATGTCCAATTTCACTAATAACAAAGGTAAGTGAAATTAAGGTGATAACAATTTAGATAGATTTGAATTAAATTTGATTTGAATTTTTAAAATATTATATAATATTATAAAATTTTAAAATTTAATCATAATTTAGATTGAAATTTTATTTTATTTAAATTAAATTGAATTGAATTTTTTTGATATTATTTATTAATTTTTAATTATTTATATTATTTTAATATAAAATTTTAATATATTTAAGTAAATTTTAATATAAATTTTTATTTTTATTTTTTAAAAATTTAAAATACATATAAAAATTTTAAAAATATAATTTGGTTTAGTTTTATTTTTTTATTTAAAATTTATACAAATTTAATATATATTTAATATTCAAACTTAATTCAAATCAAATAAAAAAATTAATCATAATCAAACTAAATATTATAATTTTAAATCGATTTTTTAATTTTTTAATTTTTTAAATTTTTTTCTCACGAAAACAAACAAATTTATTATGATTAATTAAGTGAAATAAAATCAAAGGTCCGGATAGCACATTCCTTCCAAACTTTGGCTGTGGCCATAGTTTTTTTTTTAATTTTTTTTAGGAGAGAACATAATCTTTAAAAAAAAAAAATTTGGCTCGAAACTAAAATTTTTATATTTTTATAAAATCTCCCTAATTACTAAATCAAGTGGCGGAGAATGTGTCTATAATTTTTTATATTACAAGAGTTTTACGTTTTCCTTGTATTTTGATTCTATCATGAATCATATTTGATTCTATCATGAAGTTATGATTATGCCATTTCTTGTAAAAACAATAGCTTGTAGGGGTTTGGTCCTAACTCCCAAAACCGATTTCCACCATGTCTATTTCAAGCTCCTTTTTTTTTTTTTTTTGTTTTGTTTATTCATTTTCTTATTTCAAAAACAAAAAGACGTTATCTTCGTCCTCGAATCGACGTCATGTTTTGCGTTTGGAATGTTGGGTAGACAGAAAATACTGTAACACTCTTTAAATTTAACTCAATCCTCTTGCTGACATGTCATCTCCTTTTCTCTTTCTCTCTCGAAATTTCCGAAGTAAACACCAAGACAAAGTCTCTCTCTCTGTGTCTCTGTTGAGATCACGAAACTGTTGGTCTCTCTTGGTTGTTTCTCGCTCACTCAAGCTAAAATCTTTCTCTTTTCCTAGAATTGTTTTTTTTTTTTTTTGAGAGAAATAGTCTTTGTTAATAATTGGGATTTTAATGATACATAATTTGACTATATTTCATGGGTACATTCCAATACTTGACAAACGAATATGCTTTAATTCCATCTAAATACCGTTCTTTTTTCAGCGGTTGATTTTTTATTTGGTTTGGTTGGTCACGTCTCTTTTTGTTTTTAATTTGCGTTTTATTTACAACTGAGACGTACACTAAAAAAACAAAGAGAAAGAGTGAGTTTCTTAGTTGATTTATCTTGTTTGGTTTGATTAATCATTTTCTTCTTCGTTTCTTATTATTTGAGTTACTGGGCATTGAACAATTCCTAAATTTATACGTGTTGTCTATGTTTACGTTGTTCATTTATAAGGAGGTTTTGTCTCTTTCTAAGTGGTGCGTCATTCATTGTTGCTTCAGCTCAAAGAGCATCTGTGTTTTCTCGTTTGATTGATTGGGGTTCGTTAATTATGCGTTGAGATTTGAGATTTTATTGTCTGGGTATTTGCAGAATTTAAAGCTTTAGACTTTTCCAGTGAGATTTCCAGAATCCCACCTGTCAAAACCTATCAGGATATTGAATTATGGTCGATTTTTAAGTGTTTGAGATCTGGGTGGTCTTAGAAATTCAAAGTCAGGAGGATGTACGCGGTGGGGAGGCTTATCTCTCGTGGTGTATATACTGTTTCTGCGCCCTTTCATCCTTTTGGTGGTGCTGTGGATATAATTGTAGTGGAACAACCAGATGGGGGCTTCAAATCATCGCCTTGGTATGTTCGATTTGGTAAATTTCAAGGGGTTTTAAAGACAAGGGAAAAGGTGGTTAGCATCAGTGTTAATGGCATTGAAGCGAATTTCCACATGTTTCTTGATCATAAAGGGGAAGCATACTTTCTCAGGGAGGTAGACGATGAAGAAGGGGAGTCTGAAGCTGTATCATTTCCTTCTTCTTCTGGCGATGAGACGGATGAGCCATCGTCTGGTAATCGGAGGCCAATGAAGTCCAAAAGTTGCAACTATGATGCTGATAAGTCAAACTCCGTGGGTCAAGTTGATGTGAGCAATGGGAAGATTCTGGCTAGGACTAGTTCCCGACGGTCACGGATATTTGGGCTTGTTTTTGGACAGAGGTCGACAAAGGAGGATGGTTACCGGGAGGGTGTCGATGGTGGCCGTGTGACGAGGATCGATTCGTTGGAGCGTGCTGAGATTGCTGCTGACTTGTTGGAGGTGAAGTGGTCCACCAATCTCTCCTCTAATAGATCAAATAATAATGCTTCCCCATTTTCTTCTACAAAAGATGCATTGGACAAGAAAGGTTCTGAAGAGGAGACACAGATTAATGATGAGCAAAACCAGTTTCACTCTTCCATACATGATAAGGAGGAAACGAAAAATGATGAAGAAAACCAGTTTCAATCTTCTGTACACGATAAGGAGGAAAATAGTATCGTAGACCAGCCATTACTAGAGGAAACTGACTTCTGCAACAAGCAAAAGATTAGCTATTCTCATTCTGGCCTTGAGAACCCAGAGTATTTTGTAGAGGAAGCTAGCTTACAAGTTTCTCGTGTAAGCACCGATTCACAAATTGTTGAAAACTCATTAGGTGAAGGCTTTATGGAAGAAAAATGCAAAGTAATAGCCAATATTTCAGGAACTATTGATGATCGTAGTGTTGGGAATCTTGATCACGATGAGAATGAGATGGGTGCTGTCTCAGGGATGAGTGGTCCTGATCTGCCAAGTCAATATAAGCTTGAAGCATGTATGGACAAACAGTTTGATGAAGAACTGGCCGATAATGAAAGGAATGTTGTTTTACCGGTCCGTGGGATTTCCAATAAGGAGACTGTTTCAGACAGTCTTCAATCTTTTGTTAACTGTGAAACATCACCGAGCTCAGTAATAACATCGAATGGTTCCAGTGAACAAACTCATCAGACACTGTGCCTTTCTGATGTAGGAAATAGGAAAGTACATGTTCATGCTGAAATACTGGTTACAACGACTAAGCTAGTGTCAGAGGTGAACTCTTATCCAAAGTGTTTTATTTAGTTGCAAGAGACATTTTAAAGAAAATATGATTTTAAGGATAAGAACATTTTTGCAACTTATTTAGTGGTGCATTACTCTTTTGAAGGCAACAAACTGCTTTGGACTACATTAGAAATGATATTGAACCTAAGTTTTTTCTTTGAATAATATTCTCTTGATAATTAAAAGATCTTACTGAGCTGATGTTTTAGATGGTTTTCATCAGGTTACAGTTCTCAAGCAAGCGAAGGACATGGAATTGGATTCTGAAGGGGCATTAACAATGTCAGAATCCTACCCTCAAATGGTCAGTGTTGACCCTTTATTTGGTTTGGAAGAAAAGATGTCACATAGCATTCACACCACTTCCACCATCAGTGATTTAGGTGATCAAGTTGAAGATGAGAAAAATACCAATGATTTTCTCCATCCTTCTTTGGAGTTTGTTGATGATTCTCAAAACTTTTATGGTGATAGTGAACCAAAGAGAAGTGTTCCAGCATCAGAGAGTTCAGAGGATGAACAATTCCTTTTCAGTGACCTTGATGAATCCAAACTCCTTGAGCCAGATTGTGTAAATAAAGATCTTTATCCCTCAATTTGTACAGAAAATGAAGATGTAAATGGTTTATGTAATGTGAATAATGAGTCATATTTAAATCCTGATCAGTTTGTTCAGGAGAATCCATCAACTGATCTGGAAAACTCAGTAGAAAAGTCGGGGATTATCTCTAATCCTATTACTATTTCTAGAAATCATAGAGTAGCCGGTGAGAAAAATGTGTGGCAGGTGGAATCACTTCCTAATATGTGGTCTCCTGTCTCCAAGTTCGATGCAAACGACCATCGTCCTGTAAGCCATTCTCTGGACTCAACTTCTGAAACCATGAAGTGGACATCGATCAGGAAAGATGATTCAAGCTGTATAAGGCCAGATGCAGATAAGGAACAACCAATATTACATGAAAGATCTAGTAGTGAGGATACTGAGACTTCAGGGAAGCTAAAAAATGCTCTTTACAACCCTGCCGTCGGTAAGAGAACTTGGTTATCTTTTTCTTTTCTTTTTTTCTTTGATTAACAGAACTTGGTTATCATGTATTACTTATGCTTGTTGAGTTTACACTTTACATCGCTTTCTTACTTTCTGCAGAATGCCCTGAATCGTGGTAAAGTGCAACATACTATTTGTTATGAGTTTAGTTAAACATAGAAGAAATATTCTGTCTTTCTGGTGAAACTGCTCTTTAGGCTGTAAATTGTGGAAAGTGACATGCATTGTGCTTTGTGCAGAGATATCTCTTTGCAAACACTTGCTATATGAAGGGATGGGCGCTGAAGCTGCCTGTCAAGCTTTTGATGCTGAAAAACTGGATAGCAAGAAATTTAGTTCTTTAGGTCCTGCTGTTGTGAAGAATGATAGGCTTGTTGTTCGAATTGGTGGCCGTTACTTTCCGTGGGATGCAGCATCCCCTATTCTTTTAGGGATGGTTGCATTTGGAAGTGAAGAAATATTTGAACCCAAAGGCATGATACCTGTTGACAGAGTGGAGAAATCCATTGAAGGAGATCCATCAAAAGCCATAGTCTCCCATAGTGGAAGCTGGAGGCTTTGGCCTTTTTCTTTGAAAAGAACAAGATCTAGGAAGTCTGTGCAACTGGCTCCAGCTGATATCAAAGATATGGATGCTGAGAATGCTGCAGACATTACTGTTGCTACTGATGGTGATAAAAAATTGCTTATACCCAAGCAGGTGAAGAAGATGATCAGGGCAATCTGTCCAACCTCTGAACAGCTGGCATCATTGAATCTAAAGGATGGGATGAATCATATAACCTTCACATTTTCCACCGCTATGCTAGGGAAGCAGCAGGTCCTTTTTGTTGAATTCTTACTTGAAGTTACATAGTCTTTCTGAATTCTTATTTAATTTTTTGTTGTTAAGATAATTTCTTATTTATCACCTGTAGTCTGGATTTGCTTATTCAAAATCATGTACTAAACAGGTTGATGCCAGAATCTATTTGTGGAAATGGAACACTCATATAGTAATCTCAGATGTTGATGGGACAATTACAAAGTAAGGATGGTTCTCAGATATGCTGAAGCAGAACACCTTGTTATGCTACTTCATGTTTTAGATTGACTGCTGATTAAAGTTCATGTCTGCATTATTGAGTTATCTTTCTTGCAATTAAATGTCAGTTTTAGATAACAGCCACATGTTGCAGATGATAGTTCAATATATGCTTCTTATTATAATGGGTATAATATTAAATTGGTAATTAAATTTTACTAGCTTTATGAGATGTTGCTCAGCCTAGTTGGTAAAGCTTGGTCACAGTTGATTTAGGTGGAGAATCTCCATCCGAATTGAGTCATCCGATCAATGGGCTGAGTTTTGGGTTAGTTGCATAAGAAGCAGACACATGCAACAGAAAGAAGAAAACATAGATAAGGATGCTAATCTATTGGACAAGGTGAAAAAGAGAACAAGGATTTGATGATTTAGTTGGAAGATATAACAGGTGCATAAGAAAAAACTTTTGCAGAATGCTAGTTTTTAATAGTCCGAGAAAGTGGCCATGGTTTAGATTTCAGGCTGTCCATAGTTCTGGCATTTCAGTCATTTGAAATGTACTTGTGAGGAGTTTGAGCTTTATGGTTGCAGGCATTTTTCTATAGCTCTTTGTTCCAGTCAATTCTTTTTATTTATTACCATATGCAGCGTTAACATTAACTTTTGGATAACTTGAGTAATATTTTGTTTTGTCTTCAAATCTTAATCTTGGGCTCAAAATTCATGAACCTCTTTCTCAAAATGAATTCTTCTTGTTTTTCATAGTTCTCTTGGCCCACAAGGTATTGAAGACAGCTAGCATTACATAACCTGAATTGCTCCTTGAAATTTTTACAATAGGTTTCTTTTATAACCTGCTTGTTTCCTAAGTTCTAAATTGCTGCAGACAAGGTTTCTTTTGGTCATTTCTAGCTTCCGTAATTTTATGCTATCGTTGCAGATCAGATGTTCTAGGTCAGTTCATGCCTTTGGTTGGGATAGATTGGTCACAAACAGGTGTTGCACATTTATTTTCAGCTATTAAGGTAGGTTACTTTTCATCTTACATTTTATTTTTTTTCTGATCATGGTACTCTATTCCTTCTTGCACAACCAAAAAACCCGTTGTTTTGTGAACCATGTACAGTCTTAACGAAGGCTGTTGCATACAATCATTTTCTTATTTCCTTTGTTTGGATTATAGAAGGAAAAACATTATAGATTTCATATGGCCTCTAATGCATGAATAGGAGTTATCTTCGACGTATCAAAATTCTTCTTCCATATTGCAGGAAAATGGGTATCAATTGCTTTTTCTTAGTGCACGTGCAATATCCCAGGCATATATCACTAGACAATTTTTAGTCAACCTTAAGCAGGTGAGCTGCGCAAGTTCGATGATTTTCTTATGTTGAACTGTAAAATGAGAATCAAGAAATTAAAATATTCTTGTTTTCATTGTCCTTATTCTTTGTTTAACTTACGAACTTTGCTCATTAAAAGGAGAAACTGTTTAACAAGCATATCTTCATATCTGTAGGATGGTAAGGCTTTACCAGATGGGCCGATTGTTATTTCCCCTGATGGGCTTTTTCCATCCCTATATCGAGAAGGTAACTGTTTTGCATTTCAGGGCCTTAATAAAACAGTTTTCTGAGATTGCTTTTCATGTGCAAGATATGTGATTATTATTCTAGTCTTGCTTTTCTTATGCAACCTATAACATTTAAATTTGATTTTATTTTTTGATCCTTTGGTTTTGTTGCATGTATCATGCATTACATAGTCTAATTTGCACATTAGTTATGTTCTTCTAGTACATTAAATTAAAAAAAATGTGGCATGAGTATCTAAATTGCCAACCATGTTCTGGATAAGGGAAATGCCTCCTTTCTTTTACATTCACTTTAAGTTGTATCCATGAGGACATGGTGGATTATGTTGAGGCTGTAAATCCCCATACCCCATTACGTTAAACCCCTAGAGAGATTTATGACATTTCTGCAATAACGACGATGAGAAGCATTAGCTGTACCTTTGGAAATAGATGCATGAGACGTGCAATTGCAACGTGAAAAATCAAAGTTTAGTTCTTTGAGCTGCAATAAATTAAATGAAAGGTTGTTCTATTATATTTTGTGTTTGTTTCCTATTATGTGCCTTTTATTGTAAGAAATTAAAAGCTTCCTATGCATGACCACTTTGAAATTCAAATTGAAGGTTAAGCGGGCTTCACATTTGTAGTTATATTATGTTATTGTTTCTGATTTGGAGCATATGCTTTTAACACTTAGAGCACATTGGATTTTTGTAGATATCTATTCTTATCTGTCTCTTCCTCCCCCACCCCAAAAGATAACTCTAAACTACATTAATTGGACTGAAACATCCTATATATTTCGCAGTTATTAGAAGAGCTCCTCATGAGTTCAAGATTGCGTGCTTAGAGGTTAGTTCTCTGCTCTGACATACCTACTTCTGATATGTTGAACTTCTCTGATGTGGTATTTGTGCTGTTAAAATATTATGATTATTTTCCGCATTTCAAGTTTTTATATATTTTCCAAATGTATTGTGAATCAAATCAGTTGAATGGGTTGCATGCAAGTCTGAGAGGAATTTACAGTGTTTTGAGGCATGTCTTACTTTATTCCACTTCCAACAAAATGAGATTTTAATTGTTCAGTTTTAAAACAAATTTTATTTTATTACAACTCTTGATAGCTCAAAACACATCATTCCTTGTGATTTCAATCTGTTTTAATTTTATGCATCACAACTTTAGCTTAAAAATTCTTGATGGCTTTGTATATGCTTTGCATTACACATAGAGATTTAAAAGATTTCCAGTATAGATAGGTAGATAATAGGTATGTCTTAAATTAGGAACATTTTAATGCGCTTTTATATCTTTTGACTTGTAGGATATCAAGGCATTGTTCCCATCTGATTGCAATCCATTCTATGCTGGTTTTGGGAATAGAGACACTGATGAAATCAGCTATCTTAAGGTTGGAATCCCAAAAGGGAAAATCTTCATTATCAACCCAAAGGTAATCTAACTATCTAAGGCTTTCATGCTTAAAGAAATGCAACCAAATACTTCTAATGTACTGCACCAAACTTCTCTTCTAATGGTTTCAAGTTTGCAGGGTGAGGTTGCTGTGAATCGACGTGTTGACACAAAATCTTATACCTCCCTTCATGCTCTTGTTCATGGCATTTTTCCACCAATGGCCTCCTCTGAGCAGGTTTTGTTACCTTTTCTTTTCCATTTATAACTCACAATATGTAGCTTGTTTTGAAATCCATAAACTGACTTTAAACTTAGTATTATTGGGTCCTCTTGTAGATATTTCTGTTCAAAAACTTGGTTGCAAAGGCAACTAGGCTGAGTTTTGTTATACTTGTTTTATGGAAAGAGACCCAATTGTTCCCCGTTTTCTTCTAGATTTTCTAGCCTTCACTTAGGTGACATCTATCATGCCAGGGCTCACCATCTCCTGATAACATATTAATGTCTAAATTTTCGAGTTTTAATTGATCCTTTTGGGGGTGTCTCAACTTTTTTTGCTCCACTTTATTTCTATTGATTACAGGAAGATTTTAATTCCTGGAATTTCTGGAAACTGCCACCTCCAGTAATTGATATATGAAGTTGTCAGCTAGAATATATTGCTTGAGCATTCGGATACTGAGATAGATGGATGGTGTCTGCGATCATTCTGGAGTGGTCCAGGTATATCTTGATGTCAGTTTTGCATATTTGTTAAAAACTCAGGGTGGACTCTTAGGTAGTTATCTGAAATGAATTGTGTCAATTGTATTCTAGGACCTGCTTGAAAATTGAGTTGCCGTTTATTTTACCCATAGAGCAGTCAATATTAGACATGTAGGAGTTGAGGCAGAGACTTTCCAGCTCTTTGCCAGCACTTTCTGAGATCCAACTAGCTATCACCATTAAAGTTTCAGTGCATGCATTTTTCAAACTTCTAATAACAAGATTGTCCTCGCAAATTACAGGTTGTATGTGACCATGGCTGTTGGCAGAACTTCCACCGTGCTCTTGAAAGTGCAGAGCTGGCTGACACGGTTGTCCGAAGTAGTTTAATTTGCATAGAAAAGGTTGGTTCATCTCAGTTGTATTTGGCTTCAGAGTAGTTGGATTTGTAATTTTGTATAGTGAATGCACGTGATTCCATAAACAGTTAAAACGTGTAAACATTCACTAAAACTCTCAGGGGAGAAAGGGTACTGTTGATTTTTTATTGCTCATACAAAATCAATCTTCATCATTAGTTCAAAGGAGATTGTTTGTATTCATTCTACCCAGTTTACTGGAGTACATATATCAGAAAGCTGATATAAGATGAATGTACATAATTGAAAAGTATTTTCCTTTGATGGTTTTCGGATTGTTAACTCGATCAGTTCAACAGACAGATGAACATATCAAACATGAACAATGGATTAAAGGGCTGACTCAAATTAGCACTTTACAAATACAAAATTCTCACATTTAAGTGCTTTTCTGCAAACTCTGCGAGGTTTTTGATCTCATTGTCATCGATAAAGCCATTGCCATTGGCATCTACAGATCGATTTCCATGCTTGCTCTTCCTCCTAGCAAACCATCCTACCGAGACTCTTGTAGCGTCTGCTAGCTCGTCTTTGCATATCCTTCCATCTTTATCTTCATCCAATTTCTTTAACCATCTTTTGAACTCATCGATCGTCATTTAACGCTTGCCATCAACGGAGTAGCTACGAGTTTTAATAGCCATTTCTGATAATCAAAGCCCTGGAAGTCTGTTCCTTGCACGTTGTCTTGCTTGCTATCTAACTCCCCAGTGTAGAAGTGTTTTAAGGCTTCTCAAATTTGTACCATATCTTCCCCTCTTTCCCTCGTGCATTAGGCTTTGCTAAAATACAATATAGGAATTGGATTAGCACAATTAAAACATGCAGACGCGTATTTAAAACAAAACAAAGTGCCTTTAAAAGTCATAGACAATTGTGATTGTCTAGGAAGCATAGAAAAATGGATTTTCATTAGCTTTTGCACAGATTGCCTAATATTCTAGTATTCCCCTTTTTATTTGTCAACAAAAGTTTAACTCAACAAGAAATCTCATTGCTTCATTATTCCCTCTTTTAAGTTTAACATCAACGAAGTCCATAGATCCAAAAAGGAAGAGAGAAGATTACAGTTTAACTTTTGATGCTTGTCCAAATCCGCGGAACCGAGGACGACATGTGGGGATTAATCTATAAAATTCTGTTTGTTTTTACCGCAGCGCGCACTGAGTTAGGCAACAATGTATGTTACAAAATCTTTTGAGTTGGTATCCTAAGAAAGGGTAGTTAAAACCGTACCAAATGCATTTAACAGTTAGATCCCTGATGATGGCTTTATTTCTTTGAATTAATGATAGTGTCAGGTTACTGGATTCCAGATTGCGAAGTTAAGGGACCTCAAAGGATAGTGTATAGAAATTGAGGAAGAAGATTAGGCTAATCGCCAACAAGAAGTAGAGGTTCAGAAAACCAACATGGAATCTCTTCAAAAGAAATAGTATAACAAATTTCCAATTGCCAGGCCCATTTCTTTGCTGCTTTCTCTCTTTACATTTGCTTTCAATATTGAATATCATACAACCTTAATGAGCTTCAGATAAGTTTAATACTAGTTAATCCTGCAAACTCAAGTCCACTACTCCCTATATGTGACATAGCTTTAAATCTTCGTCTACATGAAACTTGATTGCTCTGCCAATTTAGAACCATTTTTTCCCTGAATTGTCAATGTGTAAATTGGAGGAATACAATTGATCCAAATCACATTGCACAACAGCAAGCCAATGGCAAGTGTTTCTATGTGTTTTTTTTTTAATGAAAAGTTGAAAGTGACAAGTTTTTCTTGTAGGTAATAAGTGTTGGAATACAGAGTGAATCCATCTTGGTTTTCATTTTCCACTTTCATGCTTTCTGGGCAAGAATCCAAACATGTTAATGTAATGTGGCCATCATTAAAACATTTGAATCCTAGAGTTTAAATTAATTCCATCTAGACAATGGAAGCAACCGTTATTATAGAAGGGTCCTATACACAAAATTGCACCATTTGGGTCATACTATGTGGAAAAGTGGAAATCAATTGTAGGAGATACCAATCTATAGCTTCCTTTCAAAGATTATGGAAATGAAAAAGGTAAAGATCCTAAGCAATCGCTTCTTATCCTGTTACATTTAGGATTGCTGGATATTGATATCAAGCATCCACCATCCAACATGTTAATTATAATTTACCAGTGGTATGTGAAATATGAAAGGACAAGGACTCAACAATCAAGGAAAGACTTTTTTTTTTTTTGAAACTTCAAATATTTTTACACCATGCATAAATCAGAAGCTTAGAACCTGAAATTTGCAAGCTAGCTATAATGTCACACGGGAGTATAATATTTTTACATCAAGTATGCAAACGAGTTATTAGAAATACTAGTAACTAGGAAAGCACCGAGTTTCTAACTAATTAACGTTGATGTATCCACGTTGATAAGCGTATTCTATGAGGCTGTCAAGCTCATCCAGGCTGACGCATCCATCCCTATTTTTATCCACATGTTTGAGTGCTTTCCAAGCTCTGAAACCAGGGAAGAGCGCACCTAATCGATCAAACGCATTCTTTATCTCTTCCCTGTCAGGACACTGTTATCATCTACATCACAATCAAGGAATACTTTCCGTAGCTGCTGCTTACTAGCCGTAGTGCGTGACAAGTCGTCGCCTTTCGGAACGTTGTGAACCATGTTGTCTAGAAGTATTTTGAGGTTGATCGGCTGTCCATTAGTAATTTAGAGAGAAGACTATTTTATATACAACAGGCTGCAGGGCTCTTCCTCTTGCTGTCCTACCGAAGTATGAGGTCATGGGTTTAAATAGACCTCCAGGGACCAATTGTAGCTCCACTTATTCTTCTTATTGATGCGAAAGAATCTTGTTTATGAAGTTTTTGGGAAAATTTTCCACTAAAAAGTAAGGGACGTATATTTGAATCCAGCACTAGAGATAAAAGTACTCAAAAATTCTGTACGAGATAAGTACAGAAACGTTAAACGTTCATCCTGTTGCAACTATGGCATTTGGCGTCCTCCCAATGTCAAATCAACTTTGAAGAGATAAGCTAGATCAAGTTGCAGCATCTTCTTTCTTTTTGAAATCTATTTCTCCAATTGTCATTGTGAAAAGAAAAAAGAATAAGAACATTGATAATAGAATTACTTTTCAAATTGGCAAGTATGATTATTACTTCACTTTCGGTGAAATGTGTGTAAGTAGTTAATCCTTTGGTCTCTAGCTGTGATGTTTACAGGAAATCGTTTTACACATGGCTTAATGCTATTTTTACAATATTTCATGGTCACAATTGGAGACGTCCCTGGTGGGTTTAATTTGAGTTCAGGTCTTGAAGAGTTAGCCTAAATGGGTCCAGGTTAAAAAGTATTATAGCCCAAAACTGACCTTCAAATGGACCAGGCTTGTGGTTGGCCCATGATGAACATCTCCAGCCACAATAGTCTAACAATTTGGCATGTTGCCATTGATGATTGAAAATTCCCAAACTAACATTCCACCCAACGTCATCAGGAAAAAACTTTAAAAAACGTATATGAGGTTTTATATAGGAAATTTGTGAAGTTTTAAATTAAAAATGATTAAACAAAAATTAAAATTAAAATTTAAGATTTATAAATGAAAAGGTTTTATTACATTTAATTAAATATGAAAATTTTTTAAAAAATTTAATATATTTTTTAGATAAATATTTTTAATAAAAATTTTAATAAAATTTGTACAGTTAAATATATATGGATCAAATTTAAATTTATAAATAATATTTATAATAATTTTTTTTATATATTATTAATCTGTACATTAAAATTTTATTATTTATCTGTTTAGATTTATTATTAAAATTTTTATTAAATCATTTTTACAAAAAAATTTCACAAACTTCACTAAAAGATTTCATCTAAATTTTGTACACCTCACCATGCAGTTTTGGAATTACGCTCATTAATTTTTTTACACTCGCCAATGATAATGGTTTCTTATTTCTTCGTTGCCAAAGGCCAAGAGATTAGGATCACACTATATTGTCAGACAGCTAACGTTATATATATATATATATATATATATATATATATATATATACTTACTTTAGAAATTTATTTAGATAGATGCATTGCTGCCAAACAAATCACTATATTAAAACTGAAACAAAAGCAATTAAATAAAAAAGAGGAACTACCAGTACTCCTCTTTTCTTGTACAAACATCATACTAAAAATACATCAACTTGCATTTACATATCCAGTGTTGAATATGTACTTGCATGCTACAAATAAGAAAAACATTATTATTTCATGGAACAAATACTTATATATATATATATATATGTATGTATAGTAGGAGCTTTTCCTGCAGTGTAGCAGACTACAAATGCTTAACGGTACCCAGAGCCGTAAGCATATTCAATAAGAGCATCAAGTTCATCGCCATTGATGTATCCACTGTTATCAGCATCGATGTATTTGAGGACAGAGGCAGCTTTGTAACCGGGCAAAAGAGCACCAAGGTACTCAAATGCACTCTTCAGATTTTCCTTGTAGAGTCGGAGTTGACCTTCCTCATCCTTTTTGCCAAATTGCTCGAATACCTTCTTCAACTCTTTCTTGTTTTCCGATGATGATGAAGCGACCAATGATCGACGCATGTTTAGTCTTCGGATATTTGGTTTTTTTGGATAAATCTACTAAGGCGAATGACAAGATTCAACAAGACTCTTTTGCTAATTTTTCTTTTTCTTTTGCTTTTGTCAAAACTAAATTTCTCGGGGATATATAGGGGTTGGGAAGCCATGGTTTTATATATGGAGCTCTTGCCCTGGCAGGTCGTCGTTCCTTCTTGGAAAGTGAAGTTGCGTAGAGAATTGAACTGGAATCTCATGCTTCAAATTAAATTCAAGCACACGGTTTTCACCCATACAGGGGACGATACTGGAGCAAACACATGCAGAGAAAGAATTCGATTCTCCACTTTTATATATATTCTTTTTCATCCAAAAAGACAAGAAAACAACTTTAATTTGTTGTTTGGTCAATACATTAGTTATAGTTTTGTTGAATGAAATAAACATACTATAGGTAAATGCATGCATATGCTATCTTATCAAGTACTTTCCGCATTGAATTAAAATTAGAATTAAGTTTTGCCAAATAGTTATCACTGCCACATCACCTCCTATATATATATATCATCTGTTTGAAATTTACTACTTTTTTCATTTAACTTTTGAATAATTTCCATGGAAAATGTTTGATGCATTCTCTTCCAATCTATCACGTTTTATTCTCATTAAAGTTTCGTGTGATGGAAGATGTGCTAATTTGTGATCTCATAGGATTCAAGTTGTATTGTATTTTTTTTAAATAGTAGAAAAAAATAAAGAATAATTGACATGGGCAGACCGGCTAAAAGGAAAACTCTATTCAAGTTTCCCAAGAAGTTTTTGCCTTTTAAATTTCATGACTTGGTACATACTACACAATGAGTCGAGATAAATTTGCCTCTAATGGGCCCTTTTTGTATGTCCATGAATGTAGGTCAAACATACATGGGCAAATTTGGCCCAATTTTTTATATAAGATAATGGATTGAAACTGATCTGCTATATATGTAAAGGTCATCATGGACTGGCCTTCTGTCCTTTTGGGTGAACTTGGTCCAACCATTGGGAAAGCCTTGTTGAAAAGGCCAAAATTTTTGTGAAGTTTTTAAAAAAAGTTTATGAAGTATTTTTTTAAAAATAATTTAATAAAAACTTTAAATTGATAAATTGATAAAATTTAATGTGTAAATAAATTATTAAAAATATTATTTATAATTTAAATTTAATTGATATTTATTTAATAGTAAAGATTATGTCAATATCTTTACTAAAAACATTTATCTAAAAGTATATATCAAAATTTATTAATTTTTTTTAAATTTACACACTTAATCTATGTAATAAGATCTTTTAATTTTATTTTTAATTTTAATTTTTTTATTTAATCAATTTTAATTAAAAATTTCATAAATTTCACCTCAAAAAATCTCTCTGTTGAAAAAAAGAAGTAATTAGCTCAATTTGAATATTCTAGCCTTTTACCAAAACCATTGAATAGAATTATAATTTATAGCCAAACACAAAAAAGATTTTCTGATTTCATCAGATGTCATGGAATAAATATTTTGCACGGC